GAAAAAAGAAAAGTAGACAATAAAAGCTAGCCAACACCAAAATACATCTATCAATTCAACTCAATCCAAGTCATATCCCATCAACTCATCTCTTCATCCTCCTCCGCCTCTCCAGTCTCCAACTCTTCTGCATCATCCACGTACCGCCTCCTCTTCGCCCTCATCCGCGCCTCTTCAGTCATAAACCCCCCAAGATCACCTTGGTATACCCCGACAATGCCGCCATCGACGGCTCCCACAGCACCCAATTCCTCACTACCCATGATGCGCCCTTCCACATCGACTTCCTCGCAGAGCTCCATCAAGCTTCGTCTGCTCAGCCGTCTAAACCCCATTGTTCGGACTATACGACCCCAGTAAGTCAAGACAAAGCCGGCAGCTTTCTTTCGCAAGCCTTCCTCACCAGCAACGCCAGCACGCTCCCAGATTACAGCGGCGGACTCGACGTCGAGCTCCGAGAATAGTCTGTTTAGAGCAAGCGCTCGTAGTCTCTTCAAGTCGTACAAGTTGGCCATCACGAGCAGACCAGCCACGGTTGAAAGGTTAGGGCAGTAGGGTGATGTCGCGACAGAGTCGGTATATAAGTAATACAAAAACGCCCGGACGACGGTGTATGGTTCCGGTAAGTACATCCTATTCTTATGAAACTCAACCATCCGAGCGCTGTATAAGGTAGCAAAGTGCGGCCATCTCGAAAGCAGAATGAGTCTGTGAACCCTTATAGGGGGCCCTAAAACTTCTTCCGGAGGGAGATCATCATCCCCGGGGCCCCCTTCAGGCCGGTTAAGGCCTTCACCAATATCGTGCATCTTGTTCGATCCGTTCATAATGCTTCTCCCCCATACCCCAGTCATATCCCACTCATCACCCTCCGCGGCCTCATCCTTTATCGCTCGGACCACGAAGTCCGAACCAAAATCGGACTTGTCAAAGAAATTAGCCAGATCCATTCCCAGTGTCCCAGCTTTGGGATTGTCTCCCTCCCTCTGGTCAACATTCATGCCAAATCGGCTCAAATCAATCGGTAACACATCCGAAAGATACTCCTCCCCTTCCCCTACATCCTCATCAGTGTCGGTAGGGCATCCAAGCAGGTAAGCCATAGTGCTATCCGGAGATATCGCCAGATAATGCCACCTCCATAACCCTCCTCCCACGATATCAATACCATCAGCAATTTTCCTCCATGTCATGTCATCCAGGTTAAGTGCGCAGAGGCCCGTCTCAGATGGCCGAATTGTATTCGCAGATGTCACAAAGTCGAGTAATGTATGCCCACAAAGGTGGTGAAAATGTGTGCCATGCGCCTCGGAGGGTATGTCCCGACCCCAGAGAAATGAAACAGAGGCAGTAGCAGCGGGCACTGCTTGTTTTTTCGGCGGTGGTGTGTTCCGTCGTGAACTCGCGATCAACCGTGGAGAATTCGGACCGTAAGGACGATGAGAGCGAAGTATTCGGCTCTGCCCTCCAGTCGCAGTCGTAGTATCTCCCCCTAGCCCCGGCTGTCTCGTAACGTACCCCATCTGCTTGATCTCTGTCCTGGCAAATGCCGGGTGGTTCAGATCCAAAGATATCAACTCCCCGGTTCGATCCATTCCTTGCCCCATACCACCAAACACCCACAATTTTCCATCCCTAATCCAAGCTTGATGATCAAACCTGGCAATCCATGTCCAACTCCTGCTCCACGTCATCGTCTTCAGGTCAAGATAGCAAATATCATCGAGAACCTCCTGTGGATTGTACTCGTTATCCTCCTCCGGATCAAAGTCTGAAGGTATGGCCGATCGGTTATGAATGCCACCGAGAATGAAAAGCTTATCGTCGTGGAGGACAACGGCATGCCGAGACCGACCGCAGGGCGGGCGTCCAGAAAGAACCGGTTGCGACCATGTTGCGGTAGGAATGTCAAAGATGTACACATCCGACAAAAACATGCGATGCTCATTTTCCCCACCAAATATTATTAGCTTGTTGTCGCGCCAATAGACCGTTGTGTGACCTAAGACCCGGACAGAGTTAGTAAAGGCGGGAACCAGCAGCCCAAGAATAGACTAATAAATAAACAGCCGGGCATCGTGGAAGATGGACAAAGCGCGGCACATAGCGGGAACAACGATGACGTTACTGCTAAAAGGGGGGGGTATGCAAGAAGGAGTAGTAGTGGTAGCTGATGCCAAGAAATAGTAGGGATAATAATAACAAAACAAAAAAAGAGGTAGGAACATACCCATCCTAACGCTAGGAATGTCACCATAGTTATCAACCAGAGTCCACGTGTAAGTGTGTAGGTCCAACCTAAGCACATGGTTGTATACTAAAAGGGCCAATTGTCAATACAATAATACAAAAAGCAGTTGCGCGAGCGATGACAAGACATCCCAGCAACCAAGTAAACAAAGACCTGCACCGCATCTGCAACCTTAAAATAAAAAAGGACCACAACACAACCGAAAATATACACACCTTCATCGGTATACTGATCGAACCCGCCAAAAGCATAAATAGCATCTTCTCCGCAGACCGTGACTGAAGCGTTCACCAGGCAAGCAAGTCGGGCACCTAACATATTGCGGCGGTTAGTTCCGTGACCTTAGCTCTCTCGATCTACCAGCCCCAACCAGCAGCAGCCAAAGAACCCAAAAGCACTAAAGTAAAGTAGAAGAGATCCAACCAGTGAAAAAGAAACCACCAAACCCACGGGGGGGAAAAAAATGTCAAGGAGAAGAATTGAAAAAATCACCCGAAAACTTGAACAAACCTTCAGTCCTGAACGCCACAGGTCTATAAGCGGCTCCTTCCGTGTCCTCGATACTCCCACCATCCAATGCTCTCTTCCTCCCCAGCAGCGATCCACTCTTGTCCAGCTGTTGAGCCACACCCGCTCCCGACATATTCTGCGAAGGAGGGGTACTGAAGGAAGTATTTGACGAGGCACCACCAGAGGCGTAGATGCCGTGATGCGGGTTCTGGTGTGCGTGGTGGAGGTGCGGGTTCTGATGGTGTGCCGGGGTGGTGGGGGGCGCGAAAGCCATGAGTCTCAACAAGGATATCCTCGAGGGGAAAAAAAAGAAAGAGCAAAAGAGAGAGAAAGGGTTGATGTGTCTGGAGTTAAACGAATGAGGAAAGGGTTTGATCGAAACAGAACCCTGCGAGTTTGACAGAGATGGGAAAGAAGAAAGTTCTGAAAGATTGAAAAATTATTAATAACGAGGAGCGAGCGAGCGAGCGAGCAAGAGAAAGGGACAGAGAGAGAGAGAGACACAGTGAGGGAGAGACAAGGGGGTGTGGGAAAATAGAAAACGGAAAGGTGGCGGTTCCGATCGTGCAAGAGACGAGAGAGGGAAGGGAAGAGGGAGAGGGAGAGGGTCGAGGATGGGACGAAGGATGGTGATGACGTGAGCAGGCACCGGGTCACGGATTGGGAGAGGATGAGGCTCAAAGTCGGCGAGTCGGGGCGCGTTTTTTTCCGAAAACAGCGAAAATCCAAATAATAGGGGAATTCAACGCCAGCCAAGGCGGAGAAAAAGGGGAAATGGCGACAACGGAAGAAAGGGAGCACCAGAGTAGCCGCGGCGTAGCTCCCCCGTATTCTCCTACCCGCAAAAGGTTCGGGGAGGGAAAGGTATGACAAGATCGGGGAGTTGTCTTCACTTTCGAAGGGATGTAGCTCAAAAAGCCGGTGCGTACGAGGGCGGAGAGGCGACAGCGAGCCGTGAGGAACAGAGCTGCATCGACCACCACCACAAGCCGATCGCCTTGGCGCTTGAAAGTGGCTAAAGAATGCTGGGGGCTTGGCAAAATCGGCTATTTTACGCTGAGCCGCATCATTGGTCAATCCACCAACCGGGTAGTGGCCCCCCTGACGACGGGAAGCCCTATTCTACCCTCGCCCTTTTGGAGGGGCGCTTCTGGGTCGATCATCCGCTCACACCCCCCCCAATCCCCCATCGCGCTGGTACCCGTAGCTGAGTTGAAGTGTGCTATCGCCGGCTAAGAATATCTTCACCCACCCGCCTACTGGTACCAGTACCGGTATGGTATGATACCTTACTCGACTCGAGGCAGGAGAACCGCTGTCCCCAGTGAGACTTGCCAGTGCAACCCCACCAAATACCAACGGCGGGGAACACAAGTTGACGACAGCACCATACTGTAACCCAAAGGAATCTCTTTTATCGCAGTGTAGTCCCACCCACACACTACCTGATCAGAAGTGATGGAAAAAACAACGAACGAACCCCACTTCCTGAACCGGCGAGTACAGGAAAATTTACAAGTAACCCAATTTCACAATCAAGGACGCAATCTCTCCCGCAATACGGTACTGTAGCCATGGCACAGATGGTTTAATTCGTCGATAAATTACACGATATCATACGCCCAGCAGACCCGCCATGCAACCGAAACCCGCTTCCACCTATTCACTCGAACACTGATCACGAGCCTCTCGTCCCTTCGTAACCCCCATCTTTGATACGGTTTAGAGAATACTGCAAACAGATCGTAGAAGGTGTCACTGCCAGTCTGTACTAGCCAAGTTAAGCGATTTAGCCCTGAAACCCGACCGAGCTGTCGAGAATATATGGCAAAGACTGCCCACCGATCCTCTACAAAGTCCGAGGTTGCAATCCGTAATGCTTCCCGAAAACGATTGCATTAACCAACTCATCTATCACAGCTCGAATGTACCGAGAAAGCGGTTCCCCAGCAGTTTGTAGGAATCCAGTGACGGCTTCATTGTTTCTTCCCCGAGATGCGATGGGGTAGCCGGTATCGTATCGCAGAGTTTTTTCGTCGAAAACTTCTTGCCAACCTCGGGAGGTATGATAAAAGCAATTACTATCTTGCCCCAGCTAAGGCTCTCATTAGCTGTTAGGAAAATTATATTGAATGAGATTGGAGTGCTAAATAAGGGCCCCAAGGTCACCAAAAAAGGTTCCAACAGAAAATGTGATTTGCGGTGGGTGAAGAATGCTCTACTGAATGTGAGTGAGTGAGCTCCTCCCTGGTAAGGAGTAGGGGATGCCCCCTACCTGTAGATAGAACGCGACCATGGCCAACCCGTTTTTTTTTTAGCCCTGCAGTACGGAACCCGTTCTCGTTCACCACCTCTCTGCGTCTAAGGGTAGACTATCATACTTCCTGCCAAGCATCGCCCGCAGCGTTCCAATTCCGGCCTCCGGAACGTTCTGAGATTTACCACGTAAAACCTACCGTACCGCTACGATACACTTGCATTAGAGACAGCGTACGGGTACCGTACTGGTGTACGGTACAAGGCGTGGGCACGGTCGATCCTCCCTTGGGGCGAACCTCTCCTCTCGCTAAAAATCTAAAAATGGAGGGGTAAAAAAAGACTCCACGCCCCCAAAAATAAAGAGCTCAATAATAGCTAGCTACATGAAGAAGATACCGAAACCCCAAACCTTCCCGAAATCACAAGCGAGACGAGGAAAGGGAACATGAAGCGAACTCGGGTTACCCGAGAGCCCCCAACGCCATACCAAAACGAAGGATAAAAGCAAAGAGCACGAAGGAAAATAAAAAACAAAGGAAATAGGCACTTTCACCGCTCCCGAAATGGCAGCAAGGGCACTTCCCCGTCCCTGACATCTCCACACCGAATAGCGATCCTAGCTAAATACACCAGCGAGTCCATCTCGGAGTCTACCGTGAGGAATCTTTCGAGCATGGCCTGCGACGAGGGGTGCTCGAGCGGGACCTGGTGCTCTGCCTCCTCCTCCCCGTCTGGTTTTCTTTGACAGTTAGTAGGGAGCCTTGCGAGAACGGTAGACATATCTACTGACCTTGGGGTTGACTGTCCGGGTATTCAGACTGACTCCCGTACCACTCTGAGGCATACCCTTCTGAGGCGTGGCTGTAGTTTGCAGACGCGGCACTACTCGTGGATGGTGTGTACCCTTGAAGTGGTGACGATGACGATGAGGTGGTGGTGGTGCCCGCGGATGAGGGTGGATTGAAAGAGTGGCTGGGAAAATCCGATATTGATTCGTACATGCTGTACTGATATGAGCTTGTTGAAGCAGAAGAAGAGGGCTCAGTCGAGTAACAGGTAGTGGTTACTGGAAGGGCGTAATTCCTAACGTCGTAGCCATTATATGCGGGGGTCGAGGACGATGTCACCTCAACAGTGATATTGACTGTTTGATTGATTTCAAGGGCGGGACCGGAAGGGATGTAACCTGGAGTAGAAGGTGGACGCTGTATGCGAAGGGAGTAGTTGCTAGGAGGAGCGCTTGGGGATGGAGGCGGTGGTGATGGAGGGTGATGGTGATGAAGGGATGCGCGAGCACCCGTTCTCCGTGTGGAGTGTGAAGGCTTCGAGTTTGAGGACTTGTAGGTCATGATTGAATAGATTGTATCCGATATATCTCTATATGAGTGCGGGGAATGGGGATTGTGGTGGATAGTTTCTCGGGATTCGTGGCTCTCAGAAAAGCGGGGAGCAGGAGCAGCTTTATAAACTCACCGGCAACACCGATATGGAGGCGATAGGTCCGAGAGATAACGAACCTGGGCTTGTGACTCTCGAAGGAGATTTGAGCGGCGGGACCGGGCCGGCTGAGATTCGCCCTACGTCCCCGTTGGGGGTGTGTAGCGGTAAAAACCAAATGGGAATGGAGATCGCTGTTTCTCTGAAAGCCTTACAAGTACTGCATCGCATGGAGTTGTCCCACCTTTTGCAGTATGTGTAAGGGAAATTGGATATGGCCATCGACCAAAGGGGAAGTGATCGAACTCCGCAGCAGCATAAAATGAGTGGATTAAGTGAGAGGTTGATGGGTTGGCAATGTCGATGGGGCGCGGAGGGTCATGATTCCGGATGATCTATTTCCCTCCTCTCAGCCCTGAGGACTTTGCGGGCAGGATAAAGTTAGATACGGTACGCATGTATAGGGACAGGACAATATGAAGGCATACCATGAAAAGGATACGATTGTGGGGGACCGGTTCTGGAGCGGGAAACCTTTTCCCGTGGACGACCGCCGGTACCATAGGAGGAACGCATTCCCAGGGATGGGTGTAAAAAGGGGGGGGAAGATATCTCAGTTGCCAGAGACCGCAGCGAAAAAGGATAATATGATGAGATAAAAGATGCCTTGCTAATGATGAGTGGATGGGCTCGACTGGCAGGAGGCATTCGGATATGATAGAGCATCTGGTTGATAATATGGTAACCCAACCCAAGGGTATGATGGGCGATGGAAATGGGGTGCGCTGGAGGAGACTGGCTGGTTGTCAAGCAAGCAGGGATTCTCCGTGACCCAACCACTTGGGACCGGGCCCCTACTTGTACTAAGCGATCACCCCAACCGCTCAATCACCCAATCAGATTGATGATTTTCGGCTGGGGTGGTCTCCAGCAAAAGTTCAGCGGCGTTAGAAATACCGGTACGTTATTATACAGTACCGTATCGTAATACTGTCACGGCCGGCAGGGCCGTAGCGGGGGGGCTTAGCGGCGCCTCCCCACCCCAAGTTCCCGTGGTGGAGGCTTTCGCATTTTCCGTCTTGCCCTATGCTATCAATACGATACGGGCAGCAATCAGGAAAATGATACCACCCCCCCCCCCCCCCTTGCTACCCTTATCCTCCCTCGATATGACAGTTAGAGGAAAGAGAAAGGCTAGCCGGAGGGGAGGGGGGGACTGCTCGTACCGTACTCGAGCACGGGGGAGTGGAGATCTTGAATGCTCCCCCATGGCCCATCTCCTCTTCCACTGGGCTGTGTCCTCTTTAGGACAGTGTGGAGATTCCTCCCAACGCACGCGACCGCAGAGTGGATTTAATTACCGCTCAACCCATCCTCCGATTGGGCTATGGGGACGGCGCGATAGTACGTACGGCATCGTAGGAATTGTACGTGACTCAGAGATGCTCGGTTGAGCCTGGTTCGGTAGGCGATTGAGGTTATGCACTGGCAACTTGTGGAGATTGGAGCGGACCTGTATCCATTTGATCAGAGTTTGCCTTTCGTTGAGCACGGGTGCTTCCTCCACCGGCTCCGAATAACCCCGCGCAAGAACGGGGTCCTCGTGGTGATTCCTCCTCTCTCCTCTCCCCTCTCCCTCTGTTGTCGTCGAGCATCGTACTGTACTCGTACACTGCCGGCAACTGGCAGCTAGGCTGCTATCTTAATTCGCACAAGGCTTGCCAGCTGTCCACTGCCGAATGCGGAAATGATGAGCAGTCGCTTCGACAGCCTATCATTAAATTTAAATTTAGTTTACTCGAGTACGGTATTCAGCACCGGACCTCAGCTTTTTTTTTGCTCCGGTGTGGACTACTAGTAACTTACCGTAATCGAGTACCGTACGATACTCTCAGCACGATTAAACTCGATTGGCTTATCGTACAGCACCGCAATTTTCATAAATAATTTCCCCACAATTAGACTACCCATCTCGCCTGTACTCGCTAGGATAATAAGATGGCCAATGGCCGGGTCGGCCGACGCACTGCTGCCTTGTTGGTGACTGGCGAATGCTACTCATCCGGGCCTGGGCTAGCGAGAATTTGAAATTGGCTACAGTGCCGTCAAACAGCGAAACATCCGCGCGACAAGTATCATACGGTACTGCAGATCAATCAAATCCGTTCAGCTTTTCAGAAGAAAAGAAAAAAAGGACTCGCCCGAGTAGTTCGGTGAGTGTGTTAGTAATGCTAAGGATCCACATAGTGACGGCCCGAGTGCTCGAGTATCAGTGTTGGGGTTTAAATTTACGTGATCCCATGGGTTGGGTTCTGCTTGGTGGATCAAAACTGTCAGTACCGGTACAAAATCTTGAGTGATCGTCGTAGAACATCTCATATGCGAAAATATTCAAGATAGACACGCTTATCCAGTTCAGGGCCCAGGCCTACTGTAGGCTCTCCAATACTAGTACGAGTAGATCAGGCCAACGCACAGATCATTGGGAGGCATTTGCGGTGACGTTCCCAATCACCTGGGCTTCGTGCGCGGTGAAATCATCACTTCTTGGCTTCGCTACACCCGCCCTGCGTTGTGTCCATTGGAACCGAGAACCGAGTCGAGGACTTACCTGCTTGATTGGCGACTGGCCAACATGCGATATCACATCTCGCTTCGTAGATGCGCTGCCGGATGCGACGGGACACGTGGTGTGTCCTCCCATTATGCCGAAGATCCAAGGTTAACGCATCGAGAGCCGCTGAGTTAAAACGGGTCCACAATCCTCGCTTTTCAGGGTGGTGCTTTCGTGACAAGTGCTCCGTAATACCTTTCGCCGATCGTCAGTCTCAATTCATGGCCGAGTGTTCAGCATCCGTATTCCATTAAATTTTAAAACAGAACAAATAGCTGTGCCTTCGAACCGCAGAAGATAGACGAACACCCCCTAAGCCCTCTGAAAGAGGACCAGTAATGGTCGGGGCCGGAGCAACACTGCTCCAAAAGTGCGGAGCTCATGACTCAAAATAACCCGACGTGTCCAAACCCAATCAAAAATAGTGAAGGGAACACCATTGGCACAACATCTACCGTAGGATAGACACGTACCGGCAGCAGGACCTTGGAGTTTTTCTTTTTTCCTTTTTCCGCTTGATTCCGCCCACACATACCGCTCAGCTGTCGGATCTCCGGTGTTGATCTTGACCGAAACCGGAATACTGTTGACAAAGTCACCCAGAAATGCTTATCAATCTCGAGCGGGGAACTTAGCAGCGCCCTAGATTATTGGGGCTTTCTCCTTTTCGTGGTGAACGATGATATTTTGCGTGGTGTTTGTTCGGATCAGCTGAACAAGGATTGCGAACCCCCACTCGATCGTCAGGAAAGAACCCTAGGCTCCCCCAATAGCCAGCCGCCCAAGCGCAGCACTAATGTTTCCAAAAAGAGATTCCCAAGTACCGACTCAATGAGGACATCTTCTAATGCATCGCCGCCTCGGAAAGCTTGCTGTCGTTCGTGGAGTAAGGTTGCGAGGCTTTCATGAGGGTTGAACTGGAGGCGCAGGCAGCGGTTGGAAAGAGATATTCCCCGTCGGCCTATCATTATCATGCCGGTATGATGAGTCTTACAATGCTGCATGTATCACGTGCTTCACTCACAACTAGAAGGAAAATCAGGTGAGGATGATAACCCCCTACGGTCTATTATCGGGGAATACTCGAAAAAGGAGGGGAGAAAGGTACTCACGTCATTAGGCCCTTCTTGGCGCCGCGGCCCATCAGCTTCCACCCGTTACCGGCATCAAGCTTAATTTAGGATACCGGTACCGAGAATAGGCGTGTGTTCGCCTTTTATAGTACACGTATGGTTAGAAATAAGGTCTCATCGCAGTCATTAGCCTAACCCACTGAAGGGGTGGCAGTCCAATTGCCGAGGGACAGCGCGATAATTACCTGCAAAAGGGTCCTTGACCGGGGGTCGGCCTCACGATATATCACTCGTCATTGGGTTTTTCTGCACCATCCAGCCTGGTTGCTTCCTGTCAACAGCCTGCGCTATTTCGGGGTACAGAACATCGTATTAATAAAGAGCTTTATGAATCGGTGCAAGACTGCCCGCGTGCCATGCCGAGATCTTTGGTGTCTGGGCTGCAAACTGCATTCGCCCTATCAGCTCCATAGATAGGCAAGGCTCGAGTATCGACCCCATAAGTGTGAGGCTCGCAGTGCCTAGGGGTTGGATCCCGGAATCACAAGCTCTTCTATCTCCATTGAATACCTCCCAGCCACCAGGGGTTTTTTTTAAAAAAAAAGAAAGAAAGAGATTAACACGGGCTTTCTCCCTCCGATTGAGGCGGTGACACATGTACTGGGATTTGATAAGATACTCTTGAATCGATAAGAGGAGAAGGGATGAAAACAGGTGGTGACCCTAAGGAATGGGCGGCGGGATGACCTACTGTAGCCACAAGAAGAACGGCTAGGCCGAAGTGAAACAAATGTTATAAAGAGCAAAGATCGCCCGCAGTGGCACGCCAGGGTAAATAAAGAGGTCCGTACGAATCCCCCAACGACCGCAGAGGGGTCGGCCCATTTATTGGTCCAGTTTAGCCTACATTCTGAAGCTCAGCCCGCAGTGACCTGACCAGAAGAAAAATCCGGCACCACCTCTCGTCCTATGGGAGGACTCCCGTATTCTCTCCCGGATGAAATGTGAGTCTGAAGGGATGATCTCCGGATGTTTGACCGACCAGCAAAGGGTTGTCTGACTCCTTAACGAGGGCTTTGGATGAACTCGCGGGGGGTAGCAATGATGATAAGGAAGCGAGAATGGGGTATTGACTTGATAGTACAGTACCATTGGAGCTGGCGGTAGAGGAGAGAGCGAGAGAGAGCGAGAGAGAGAGATATTTCCAACCAGGATTGGGGAGCCTGACTTCCCCAACGATTTCCGGCGATGAACTTCCCCTAGCCCCTCCGTTCCATTCACACAAACATCCCTCCCCTATCAAAACCTTTCTCTAACTCCAAAGCTAGGAGTGAACGCCTGGTGAAGATAAACAAAAATAAGCCCATACAGGAGAGGCCTCAAATGTCAATGGGGAAGAATCCCAGCAGAGAAAGCCTATAATTCGTCGAGTGACGCATATCAGAACTAATAGAGTAAACATATCCCTCCTCCCCAGGACTCCACATAATGGCAAACCAACCTAAAGGGAACCCCTCCGCCTACAATAGGGCTCCAAACCCAAACAGAATAGGTTTAGGGCTATGGCATCATGCGGATGGGGAGGGAGTAGGCCTAAAAGTGTAGAATGCACGGCACGATACCCAATCGCTCATTGTTGCCTCCCCCCCCCCTTTCCTTTGAACGAAGGATGAGATGGGGCTTTGAAGGGGGAGGGGAAGAAAGGTGAGGCCTTGCTATCGTAATAGACTCGACGGATTCTTTGGCCCGAGCACGTGCTTTCACAGCTAGTCACTCGCTGTGCTTTTAGAATTATTTTTTATTTTTTTTCGCTAGGGTGCGAGTAGCACAAGCGAGGATCATTTCCCTGGTTGGTGCAGGTATTGTAGATCCGTGTAACTTTGGGGGGCGAAAAAAAAACAAAAAACAACTACCGGTACTTCCTCGCTTATTAACTCCCACCGACTGTCCGAGTACTCGTACTCGGGTACGTAGGCTGCGATAATATTCGTACGTATCATAAAGTCGGGAGCCCCATAATATCATATTATTCAACGGTCCACATGAGTTGCGAGATGCTCTTCTCCTTCTTTCCGGCCACTAGGGCGACAGCGGATTTGTAATAATCGGGCCTCGTAGGGCTGAATTCCCGGCGGTCAGCCTAGACTACTCGTACTGACTTATAGGCATACCGGTATGATATCTTTTTCCTTGCCTTCGGGTTCCTGCCTGAAAGGCCTAACAATTTCCTCCTATCTTCCCCCACCCGGGGAAAAATTAGGAATCTATTGTTGAGCCACTAAACGTATGTGTGTGCAATGCAGTGCAATGCAGTGCTGAGGCATGTCCCGTCGCGAATATGTGCCCACGGCTCAGGATCGAGACTGCAGTAGATTCCTAAATTTAAATATGAGGGACCAGTCCTAACCGAGTGGGTAGAGATAATTTGGCGAATATATTAAAATATTACTCAGCCAAACTTTTTTTCAGCACGAATGCCAAGCACCGGGGACGGCCCAAAATTTGCCCCAATGTTAGGCGCTATTACGGCGAGGGGCAGTCTCTGAGGCGAAATCGGCTCCGCAAATTTGCCCCTCGGATTTAGAATCCATGTTACGGGAAAACAAGAAGAATAACAACGTATGATATCGTCGTTCGTCTGGGGTTGGGAATAATTGGATGTCGCGGAGGTTGATTCTGGGTTACCGGCAACATGCTGCGCAAGTACGGTACCGGTATTGTGCTAGTATCATCCTGTATACTGTACGATTGTCTACAGTACAAGCATTCTCAGGAGAGACAACAAGGACTCATGCCTGACTGCAGCTTGCATACATTTTTTCAGGCCATGTCCCCTCTACCCGCCTAAGCTCACCCGCCCGTATAACTCATAGTAGAGGCCTTAATCACTACGTTCCAACATAAAATAAGCCCAAGGGCGTCTGAGGAATTGAAGTAATAGACACAGTCCTCAACAGAAATGGCAACAATGATGAAAATGTACTCTATGGTCAGCGCTAACTTTCAGCCGAAAGGTATGTTCCCCCCTTTTCTCTTCGATACCCCTATGGTGAAGACCAGATGGCGAGGGAATGGGTGGAGGGGTCCACTGTAGCAGGCTCGGATATTCGCCATGTTCAGAAGGGAGTTAGCGGCCGAATGGTAAACTGACGAGTCCGGACACAGAGCCGATAAAGTTATACCTACCAACACATGAGATGTGGTGGAAAATACCATATGAGTCTAAAAAAGTGCGTCACTCCTCCCTCTTCGCTCCCTAATCTTCCCTCTAACTAATGAATCCCCTTCCCCTCTATAGAACCTCGCCGTTGAAATCGACGAAATCCTGAAAGACATTCAACAAGCCCAAGCTGCGGCTAAAAGGAAGAAAGTCTACTTGACCTCAATCGCAAGTTACGGCATCGGGATGCCCTCCCCGGGCAGATGGGTCCTGGTGGACTTGAAGGACGGCTCCTTAGTGTACCAGAAGTATATGGAAAGCCTGGTTTACCCAGGGGCACAGTATATCGTACTTTGCCTGGGGTCTACGGAGATTCCCAGGGGAATTTTGCGGCCGCATAGTGTCGGGGAGGGAGGGTTCGGTGAAGGCGGGGATGAGGATGAGAGCTTTGAAGATGTTGGGGAGAATATCGATCAAGTTGCTTAGCGGGGGCACAATGGAGGCGGGGATGAGGGAGCGGCGTATGAAGGGTTTGGAGAGAATATTGATCGAGTTGCTCAGAGGTGGGGAGGAGAAGGAGGTTGAAACGGTAGAATGGGGGGATTGGTCGTATTGTGGGGGACCTTCCGATTGGGGGATCGGGATTTTAACGTTCGGTCCCGTTATCTAAGCGCACATGTTTATGTGAATACGATACCAGATAAATTAATTCCATTCGCGTGGAGAGAGTCAGGCGTAGAACTGGATAGATCTATATGTGACCTTCATCCCCATAACTACCTCAAAATAACCAGGAAAAATAGAATGTCCGAACTCAGCCGCAATCGGATGAGCAGGATTCGCCTATAGCGAGGTGAGAGATGGACACTGTACCAGGACTTCTGTATTACCCGTGTATTGCCTGGTGTTATCAATAGGGCGTTCTAGAACCTTCGCTTCCCCCTGCAGCATCCCTCCCGATATACCTTTAATTCTAATATATTCTCCCACGAGGTGCAAGGGTGTGGGAATTAATTACCCTGTACCGAGCCACCCAAGAACCAAAACATAGTACCACAAAGGTACCATTTAGCTGGAGTGCTACTGTAGAGTAAGTTAAACCGCACCTTGCAGAGCAGTCAGCGGTTCACGGAGACTCACTCACAAAGAACCTCCTGTTTTCCCCTGCTTGTCCACCCCATGCAAAGCTAGCCATAAAAGAAGGAGAAAAGTCCAGACTATCAGTATAAATTTGGCGTAATAGCGATAGCAAAAAAAATCTTCAGATACAGTACAGTACATGATGTCACTGACCACTTCCGACCATACATTCTGAAACGCGCCCACTTCCAAATCGCGTGCCAGCACCAACTCTACCAGATAGATACAGATACCTACGGTACAGGTAACGGTATGATAGCAGAGCAAAGCAGAATTTTTTCATTTTATCCACCCCTTCCACCCGATCCGGAGCACAGGGAAAGGACCACCACCGCCACAGCACAGAATCCCAAGTAATTGAACCGTACGCTAGGCATGATACCGTAGCCCAAATTTCCTTCTCTGAGAACGAAAGGTGGGCGAAAAAAAAAACATAGCAAAAGGTGAGCAGCTCCCCCTCCCCCACGCCCCAACTCCAAAAGACAAGAAAGGAAAATAACAATAAAAATTTACCAGACCTTACCAGAGGTTGGCAGCCCGAAACGGCACAGCACACGGTTCAACTACGGTATTCGAGATTTCGCGGTATCATATGAACTCCTAAAGCCCTCCCCCCCTTAACACTCGTTCCCCAAATTAGATAGAGGCACCCCTCTGCAAATTTATGACGAGTGATATGCTATGACGCCTCACCGGAATTGTAAGCCGGTGGCATTACACTAACTTTACCGGGCCGACAGATGATGCCGGGCGATAGCTACTATGAATGCTGTACGTAGACGGAAGACAGAGGGGATTTACCCCCCCACCCGCAGGGAGTTCTCGGTGGCCTTCGGTGGGTTTGTCATAGGATAGGTGCTTTGTCGGACTGATAATCGGGCCAGGTTCAGTTTTGTCAACCGACTGCCGGTGTGAGTGCAGGCCTAACTATGATATAAGGGATACGGGGTTAGAAATCATTATCTTGGTCAGTGCCCAAGTCATGTGGAGCGGCTTCCACGGGGCACATGCATTGCGGGGGTGGTGGATAAAAGTTTTTTGCTTTTTTTTATATAAGCTTGCTCCTGCAAGTGTGACTCTCCTGTTTCTCTAGTTTTCTGTAGTTTACGTGCTATGCGACCAAGGTGTGTTTCAGTAGGTGCATAGCGCTTGCTTCTTTGGGTCGAAAAGAATTACGACTGGGCTCTCCCCCGGTGCAGCAGGCATCGTGGCCGTGCTCTGGGGCTTTTGGAAATGGCAATATATCTCTCTTTATTCTGCGGTGCGGCGGAAAACATGCTACTTAGTCGAACCCTTTTGACCTTTCGGGCGCAATATAACACTTATTTCGTTAGGCCCACAAAGGGATCTCAGAACCGAGGGGAGAGGATAGAGAGAAAGCTGGGCTCGTTTGAGTGGGCTGTGAGTAAAGAACTCAACAACTACCTTTCCGAGATATGCAACCACATGTATTGTCAAGAAAATTTCACTACGAAGAGCCCATGCCCCTTACGTGATGCTAATGAGCGAATATTACTGGGAAGGAGAAGGAGAAGGAGAAGTAAGATAAAAGAAATGGAGAGGTAAGAGAAATAAAATAATTTGATGGAAAGATTTAATTGGAAGATGAATGTGGAGGGCTTAAGAGTCGGATATTCCTGGGCTAGAAAACAAAACTCCGATTCTTGACTCCTAGCAATCACCCTCAGGAGGAGCTTCCGGTCTCTTGGGTTCAACGGTGCGTTCCCCGGGCAGACTCTCCTCCTGTTTACCTTAACCCACATATTAGCATTAAAACAATTAAAGTTATTTCCGCACTATCAATATTGCGCGGGTTGGATAAATCTAGCATACCCCATACCAGAACCGCGGCCTCTTTTGCAGCCTCCTCTCCCAGACCTTCCTTGACAAGCGCCGCTGTTATCCTGAAACTACTGTCAGTGGAGGTCCGCCAGGAGCCTACTTTGGGCTTAACTTGCATCGATTTCTTAAAATCTAAAGGGAGAAAGGTTGCTAGATTTTGTAGGTAACTCAAACGGGACACTAAAGGGTGGATAACTGGGTCAGATACCCACCGTCTTGAACACTCTGATCCTCAGACTTCACTGCATCTGACCACCCTTGGGGGATACCTCTCGTCCCGGGATTCTCCCCCTTACCCTTCAGGAACATCTTTTGCCCATTGAGAGTCATATGTACTCCCTCCAGAACCTCAGTGACCCGGGCCTTACCGCCCTCCCCCTCCCCCTTCCCCCACATAGCCGGTTTCTTCCTGGATGTCTGTTGGTTTCTTCACTCTTCCTGTCTTACTATGGGACGAGAACGCACTTCGCTACCTCTTCCAAGACGGGATCGTTTGTCAGAACATAACCAACAGCACGTGGCGATTCTGTCACCCAGGCTTTGAGGGTAGTGGCTTGTTCCCCACTTATTCCTATATTGCAATCATCGGTTGGGGCCGCCACCGTAAATGTGGTCATAAACCACAACGCTAGAATAACCACAGAGAAGTAGCACCCATAAGCCATTGTTGATGCAGGTTGACAGCTGGAGGCTCAGTGAAAAGGGGAACTTGAGATATTGAGAACCCCAGGCCTTCACTTGGCCAGAAGGGAAGGGGGGGTAAAAGAATGGACGCCTTTGAAGCTATCAAGAACGGAAAAGGAGGGGTGGGGGGTAACGAAACAGTACCAGCTGTGTTTTGGGAAACTCAAATGGGAAGGAAGAAAAACGAGGAGGTGGATTATCTGTAGTCCCTCACACCTTGCGAAGGCATATCTTATATCGGGACCCCTGGGATCCTCCGAGGTTCGAAAAATCCTACCGAAATGTTGCCAGACACCTCGAGGCTCAGGGACCGTCCTTAGTGATAGCCCGTTGGGTAGCCAACCTATCTTGCAATAGTTTAACGGGAAGGTTTTCGTCACCGGCCCACCGGCGTCTATACTAGTAGGACTAGACCGACATCCAGGAGCGGGTCAACGCCCTTAGTGTGATCCCAGAAAGTGCGAAAATAGGGCTCTGTGATAATATATATCATAATAATATTATTATGATAATTATTATCAAACACAAGTCCGCTCTAGAACGGTGCTGGAGAAAACCATCGTACCTCACAATTTCCCCAAAGGGGAGAAATGGGAAAGTTCCTAAAAGCCGACTTCCATGGAGGAGTTTGCGGATGAGGTTGAACCCACTCTGCATGAATGTCAGCTTAGCCAAACTGCAGCTCTACTAGCTTAGTTCTGAGCAACCCCGGATTGATAGCAAAGGTCGATTACGGGGACTGCTTGTATGGTGTGGTGCCATTGCAAGTGCGATAGAGGAGCCAGTGCAATTATCAGACACATCCCGTGCGCGGGCATGAGCTAACCGGTTACAATTATAGAGGCGGGAAAGCGGCCACAGATGCCACCGGGGTTCCCACAGACTGACTTGACAACCATGGCCTTGGTGATACAGTAGTTTTTCGCAAAAGCAGCAGAACTAACCTTAAAAATAAGTTCCCCTTCCTTCCTGGCAAGAAAAGAGTTTGTTTTGTTGGCGGCAGGGATTCAAGCTTCATAGGCACACTATTGCTTCTTAGTCTAGGGGATCTAATACCGATACCTCCCTTAGGTTAGCACCAGCCTGAGTTCTCAAGTAAAATAATCCTTTTGGGGGGTGGGGGGGTCACTATTAGTTATAAATGATTTTGCGCTCGCTCTGGGTACGCTCCCTATTCCCGAACTGGAGGAAGTCCTCCCTCTTTCGTCAATGAGACGGCCAAGCAGAAATTTTAACCACCGCATAACGTTTTATTCTTGCTTGTTACCGTACTAGTACAAGCCCAAGAGAGGTAAAGCCCCAGCGACATAGCGCAACTGCTGTATCCGGTTGTTCAAGATTCGGTCATACTGCGCAGTGCTCGTACTGTACCTGTTTCTGGAGATACACCATATTTTTATATCGGCTTAGAATTGTATCGGCATGTTCTGAATAGGCCCCGAGTGGCAAGAGTGCAAGTATAATACCACAGCACTCGAGGGGTACTGTACCAACCCCACCCCTCCAAAATTTGTCCTCCTTCGTTTCCAGGTTTCTTCACCAACTCTGAAAAAAACCTAACCTGCAATCTAGTTCTATAATCACATTTATCAAACAAATCCCATGAAACCCTTCTTCAGGGAATTTATACCCCTCATATGTACCGTTTTGCGTCTACAGACCTCCTGTTTATAACTACCCTTTATTCCAGGCACTTATCTCCATGTTTCCCTATAACCCGTCCGATGGTTTTCCGTTTTTCCTTTTTTTTTTTACAATGTCATGTCCATCTACAGGGGCATCAACTGTTATTCTAATGTCTACCACCCCGGTACCAGCCTCACCGTCACCCGGGAAGAGGCACCCTACCGGGCCGGTAGTCCCTCCTTCAACGCCGCGAGCCCAGGCTAAAAGTGAAAGTATTAGCGGCACAGTACGGTGCGGTATCGTCTTCCTAGCTATCCCATAGATCGCAGCTTTCCGGGCAGTTATAGCAAACGTGCTATGCACACAGTGCCGTATTGCCCGTTTATTGGTATCGACGACAGGAGGACTGGCCAATGTGTACCGTGCCGGTAGTGTATAATCCTCGGGTAGAATACCATCATAGTACAGTACGTCAGGGCAATCTTTTTAAATTCCGATGTTTCTTTCGGCCCTACCTCTAACCAAACATCCCACAAACCAACGAACCCCACAATAAAGATTTCAAGAAGGATACAGTATCACCGGATTCGTATAATACACCATACCGGTTACCTCTCCGCGGCGCTCCTCCCCGCAAACTTTGCCTCAAAACCTAGCTACTAACGTGATTCCAGTGACAAAACAAGCAAATATAGGCACGCGCCACGAGCCGCCCACTCATCCAAAGGGGATGTAATCCGGAAATAAACGTACGGTAGGGTGGCTACACTCTGGAAGAAATATCTACCGCCCTTGAACGCCCTTGCCCTTCGGGGACGCCAAAAGCAGCTCGCATCCCAACAGACAAGACCAATACCAGGAGAAGGTTACTTGGCCATCTATGAAGTATTCGGACAACTCCGCACTATCAGCACCTGCCCGAATGCCAAGCGCCCGAACACTCTACTGTACGAGTACAAACCGCCAAGTAGCTGGGTAGATGGTTGAAAACTTAGCGAGGAGATTTGCGATTATTATTTTTTTGATTTTTTCCGGTATGAGAGTAGGCTACCGGTAGATATGATAGATAGATCGTTGTTGTGATTTATTTGTCTAACGTACCGTGCCGGAGGGTAACCGGGAGGAGGGGGTCGCAGTGCTGTTCGGTACAGTATGGCAGGGCTGGAATAAATTGCGGTAAAGATGAGGCTCTTGCTGCTCAATGTTAGGGGTTAGGGTTGGTTAGAGAGTGCGGACGCGATGATCGCACGGCGCAGCAAGGACTGAAAGATCCCTCGGAATTCGCCACCAGATCATCAGCGGGAATCAACTCATCAGTCTACAATAGGTTTAGCCCAATAGGTCAACAAGATCACGGATACTAGTCCTCGAGCCTAACACGTCTAGGGGCGGCACAGGCTATTCCGCGTCAGGAGAACGCTTCTCAGGGGCTGCCGTCTCTGATCCGGTGGTTTGAAGTCTGAGGGAGATAGCGAATCACCGTACAAGAGATCCCAGGGGACATCATCCAGAACGGAAGGATTAAAGCCATACGTTTCGGAAACGGGAAGGGATCCCCCACGAGGAACTCTGGTCATTTCTATTAGACTACGAGTGCAACTTCGTCAAGGCATCTACCCATCCAACCTTCCTCTCAAACCCCGCTGGCGCATGTTCTTTTACGGCATCGGACAGAAGCATTTCAAGGCCTTAGTCAAACTTACGGCTCTCCAGCAACTCCACCCTCACTCAGCTTAAAAAACCAGAACCATTCAAAACGGCAGGGCAACGCCAACAAAATTTGGGAGACATGTATGATAACAACCCACGATACCCCAAACCCCAAACCCCGATACCAAGTCCATCGGAACAGACGGCCAAAATCATGACATACACTCATCATTCTAGGCAACCATCGTCTTAAGAGAGAGAAACACGTATATAAATGAGAAAGGAAAAGAAACGCAGCACAACGAAGTCGCCAATCCGTACAATCATTTACAGCTCCTCTGTACCAGCATACTGGGGCCTTCCCTGACTGGGCCCGTTCTGGTGGACAAATTGGGTCCTGCCTTTGCCGCCCTTAATCTTCCCGTCCTTACCCTTCGTCAATCGCCACTTTCCGCCGGTCTCCATCTTCATTCCCCCAACGATGCCTCCCCAGTTGAGGGTTCCGAAGGACCCTTCAGGTGTCTCAACTTCTAAGACTTCCTCTTCTGCCGTTTTATCGTAATTTACTACGAATTTACCCAGGCTAGTTTGGAAGCCACCCTCAACGTGAGCTAGATCCCCAGGTTGAGGGGTGATTGACCAAGTTTTCCCGAGGGGACTCAGAAGTTTGATCCCAAGAATTGAGTCTGTTAAGACAGATGTTGGGCCTGCTGACCATCCATGGGCGTGCGAGTTTCTAGTTGAGGACCAGTATGCCGGGTATTCTATAAACAAACAAGGAAGGAATGTTAATGTTATCCCCATGTTTCGGAACGACCAGATAACCCACGAATATCTCCATCCATCCTGAATCCTTCAATTAAAGTGCTATTGGTAAAGCCGGGCCCATCAAGCATATATCCCCACTGCCTTCTCATGAGGTCGAGAGCGGTTTGATAATTTCCGATTTGAGTATGAGCTTGAAGCTCAAACCCAGAGGCAAAAGGCGAAATTGTATTCGGCAGCTATTTCGCCGGGTTAGTACTGTCCCAAAAATATACGGTTAGCTAAACTGGGAAACCATACCTCTACTGCTGGAGCCCCATAAATTCCCCACCTATTCTTCAATTCTTTGCTAATCCGGCGGGCAATATCTCCAGTGACAAGACCTGTTGCAACAGCCCAACTATTTCCGTCTTGAGGGAAGATCTAAGCACCGTTTAATTTAGCAATGGAAGCCAATTTCAAGGATATCTTTGCTACTCACATCCTGCCTATCCCCAGAGTTGTCACAAAACAGTCCAACTTTCTCGTTCCAAAGCTTCTTAGGGGCCATAATTCCCTTCTTAAGACCCGCCATATACCCCTCCCATAGGGTGATAAGTTGTTTAAGGTCTCGTCCTTTAACATCCTTAAACTTATAGCCGTCCTCACCCAACCACTCTGCAAGCTTGACGCTACCAAAAAGTGTTTTGAGAAGAATTCCTTGAGCTTCAACATTCTCCCCCCCCATGCCGGGCCGGAGCCAATCGTTGCCCGAGGTAACATACCTTGAGCGCAGAACTATTAGTATTTATCTACGATACCTTTTGGCAAACAACTGAGGGGTGACTCACATCAGGCCAGTATGCTTCGAGATCTTTGACGTCGAATATTCGATTGCTTGGACGTACTTCCACCACAAATGCTTCAAGTAATCGAAGTCTCCACTATAAAGCACATACTGGTAAACACCTAAAAGTGCATGCATATGATATGTATCGCTAAACTCAAAACGGAACCCCATAGGCGGACCCGCATAAGGTAATCTGATCATGCCGCTGTCCTTACCACCCTCATCATGAGAACTATGATAATAGTGCTCAAACAGGGTGTCGAGAGCGTTCTTGACAGAGACCAGATCGTAAGTTGAGACGGCGATTCCAGGGGCGGCAAGTGTCATGTCTCCCGCGTAGACCATTCTGTCGCGCTTAGCACCATCCGTAGTTACGGAGGTCCCGTTAGATATCGTAAAATTGGAGTACCAGGTTCCATGTGGTGCTCTATTGTCATCAAACACCTTATTCAAATCAATGAGGGTTCCCCCTTCATTTGGTGGGATTGTGGTAATTTGAAGCGTGTAAGCCCCGGCATACCAAATGCGGTTGAGAAGATTATCGCTCGAATAGAAATACCCCGTGTATCGCCGTGGGTTCTCGTGCGACGGGAAAGCTGAATAATTAACCCAGATATCTTTAAAACCAACACTTTCAGCAGGAAGCAGGGGCTGTTGTCCGCCACGTGTCCCCACCTTCATCTGCGCCAAATCTGAGAGGTCCGCAGCGATAGATTTGGTAGTGAGCAAAGTGATGTGCGGGAGTGCTTGGCCAACCTTTGGATCCTTCGGGTGAGGGATGAAAAACGTGACATACTTGAACGCGCCGCGAACATGGTCCTGGTCGAGTGAATTAAGGCCACTTGTCAGGGGCTGAAAATGGGTAAGGTCGTACTCGATTCTATCACCGGTTCCGTCCGTTCTTCGCCCGATAAATCGAGGGGATTCAGAGAAAGCAATACCAATGGACTGGTGCTTACTCGTGGTGGCCGAATCAACTTCGAAAAAAAGGCTAAGCTTAGAAGCAAACCATCAGCATTGATCACTCCACCCGAAGAACAGCCAAAGGGGGAGTCCTTTTAGCGAGGGGTGATACCGTCCAGCAATATTTTGAGCAAACTCGTATGTCACCAAGGCACCCTGGCCTTTCAAAACCGTAACGCCTGACGTGTCGGCGGCAGCAGAAACAGTGCCCTCAGTATAGTAAACTTTTTGAGGACGGACCTGACGAGATTCCGGTGCCTGAATGTAGCGTTCCCAAGGCCCCGGAAATATTGGAGTATCCTGAGATTCACCAACTGCTGCTAGCAGCAGCAATAGCGAACTCCGGAGGGGCGTAACCCAGTGCATGGTTGACCCCCTGAGCCAGCAAGAGTAAGAGTTGTGTGTACAAAGCGAGTATGAACTGCACCAAGTTGAGGACAGAGGAGGAAGATGAAGATCAGGAATAAAGTGTATCCAACCCTTGGCTTGGAAGGAGGGGAGATTGAGCTTAGAAGTACTCTCACTCTAGCTCTTACGAATTTAGCCATTCGGTCGGATGGGTGGGCTGCCGGTACATTATTCAGAGGTCCCTGGTGCGACGGCTGTTGTTTCGGAGCTACCCCACAATTTAGACCAAATTCATCTAAATCTTGGGCACGTGCAGGGACCATGAAGCCACATGAGAGGCCGTAAGGGCCTGCTGATTTATTCGGTTATCGATAAAACCTAACCCACCAAAATGAGGAAGCACGACATTAAGAAATGTCAGCCAGACCAGCCAGTCCAGCCAGTAAAAATGTCAGCCTACCCTCCTTCCCCACCCACCATCGCCCGACCACCCGAGATCTCCGGAGCAGAGGGTGTGAGGCGTGCGGGGAAGAAAGAATGTATCAAATCATAACAATCCAGTCCCCGGACTCCCGGTACCAGAGCCCCAGTACGATACTGCTCATAAATGTACAAGCTAACCACCCCACTGTACTGGCATTCTACTCAGGTCAGCCCCGATACAACAAATAACCGCTCTGTGGTGCTGCTCATACAGGCGCGGAGGTTTGGCTTACTGACCTTCTCCTTTTGCTGATGGGGGCTCCTACAGGCTCTGGGTATTGCATAAAAAAACTTGGACCTGGCACGGGATTGACATGGGAACCCCCTGCGGCGCTTTGCCCGAATAGCCTTTGGCCAGGGGAAACCCGGAGCCGAAGTGGAGAGTCAGCAGGTACGCTTCTTTTGTCCATCTTCAGCAAGTGAGGGGAAAGTGAGGAGGAAAAAACACATACAGCACATTGCAACAGAGAGACAAAAAAAAGTCCCATTCTTCAGTACCGTACTGTACAACCGTACCACCCACCACAATTTGTGAGGCTTTCCAACCTCCATTCCCTCCCTTCTTCCCGGAATCAACCACTATTATTACGGCATCCGACTGGCCGGGCAACCAGTAGCAGCAAAGCCTCACAGGCATAATGTCGTCCTTTACAGCTGTACCGATCTTGGATTTCTCCCTCTCAAAAGATGAAAGTACCAAACCAGCCTTCTTGGACGAGTTGAGACGAACTTTGCTCGAGGTTGGATTTCTCTACATCGAAAATACCGGGATCGATGAAGACCTCGTGGAAGAGGTCATCAGGCTCGGAAGAGCTTTCTTTGACTTGCCTGAAAGTGAAAAGATGAGACTTGAGATGAAGAATTGTAAGTGTGATTATTTTATCTTCACAAACTTTTCTCTTCGTCTTGTCTTCCGGTATTTTGTGAGAGCTCGGAGGAAATGTGCTGAATGATGGTCATCACGAACGGCTCTTAAACGTGCGGGAAACATCTCACGTCATAGAATGGTATGCTGACCTGGGGTCTCGGAAATGCAGCTCCACACTTTTTGGGTTACAGTCGTCTTGGAAACGAAATGTGCGTTCTCCCGAGCTCACGTGGCGCCAACCCTGAGAAAAAACTCAAAGCCCCCTTCGGGTGATAGATTTTAAAAATATACGGGTATCAACTGCTGACCCAGAGGACATCATAGTACTGCAAACGCCACAGACTGGCGTGAACAGATCGATCTTGCAACTGAGCTTCCTGCCCCTTCCCCCTCCGAGCCTAGGTACCGCATGCTCCGCGGTCCAAATCATTGGCCAAAGGAAGAGCTCTTGCCCGGTTTTCAAAAAACCTTTACGGAATATATGGATCAAATGGCTGAACTTTCAACAAATTTCACCAGCCTCGTTGCCGAGGCTATTGGATTGCCAGCCGACTCCTTTGAAAAATATTTTGATGCATCAGAAGAAAGTGCTTCTGGAAAAAAGAAGCAGGACAAGCTGAAGATTGTCAAATACCCTGACTTAGGGGAGCTAGGCGAGCAAGCGATGGGGGGACAGGGAGGTGAGGAAATTGGTCCATCTACGTTTATGTTTATTATCGGCATACCAGTACAATGCTCGGGACTAATTCTCTCTCTATAGTTGGGCCACACAAAGGTTTGAAAGTGCTCTCCACACAACATTCAACTAGCAGCAATAATGAAGAGAAACATTAATGCTGGACCAAAATAGATTCAAACCTTAGCTCCTATCTTCTTCAGGCAACAGATCACAAAGGTCTTCAGGTTCGGAATTATAGAGGAGATTGGATAGATTGCATTCCTATTAAGGGAACATTTGGTAACATCACCTCCTAGTATTGCACTGCCATGATATTAAAAGATTTCAAAGTTGTCGCAATGGGACGAGGCCTCGAGGCTATGACCGACGGTGTCTGTATATCAACCGCTCATCGCGTTATACCCCCGCCTACCGGCTCAGGGCCGAGATTCTCGATACCCTTCTTCCAAGGGGTGTCCTATGATGCCACCTTTGAAAGTATGGACGTTCCGGAAGAAGTTAAAGCTTTAAAACAGGAAATAGTGCGAAAGGAAGGAGGCTGGAAGGATGAAGCAGAAGTGACATTTAAGAAAGGTGGTCGTTTCAAACACCTTGGAGAAGCAACTTTGATGAATCGAGTCAAGGTCTCACTCATCCCTTACCCCCCCCCCACATTCCGAAAGAAAGAAAAAAATCGCAGGGTTAACATTTCCGCTTGAGACAGTCGCATCCGGATGTGGGGGAAAAATACTACCCTGACCTCTTAAGGATAGTCAGGGAACAGGAGAAGGCAGAAGAGGAACAGTCAGTGGATAAGCCAGAGAGCGGAAACCCACTTAGTGTTCCCACAACCACGGTCACTACTTCTGAGGAGACAACGGATGATGCTCCCTCCACTACACAACCCAAAGGACGACGTCGGGCGCCTACAATTGTAGTAGAGTTGACCCCCAGCAATCAGCCGAGTTATGGACAGGACCCAGGTCCCGACGGGAGTATGGAGAGGAAGGAAGCATACGAAATGAGGAAGGCTGATGCTGCTCCTGACGTTGTTCGGGTCATTGAGCGATAGCTTTTCACACAGGTGGAACTGAACACTAGCTTCTCATCAAACTCAACTTTATTTTATCTGGCGTAGTTAATGCAATATCATGGCCCACTTTGGCGCCTAGCTTTTCCCCGCCCCGATGCCTATACCGAGTGCGATGATTTCCCCACTCGCAAATCTCTGTACGGTAGCTCTAATCACTCGTCTACTAACATCTAAGAAAGCTACGCTATCCACCCAACTTCGGGCGGCTATCGGAAAGAGACCATTGCCTCGAGCTCCGCCTATTAAAGTTCATCAGAGTACCTCCATAGCCGCCTTCTTTAACTTGTTCCTCAACACTTTCGGGAAAAAATTGCTCGCTCGCCATTCTTAGCCACATATTCAATTACCGCTAGCAAGTACAAAGATCCATTAAGACGGCCTAACCGGGCGGCTAATGGGTGGAGGTATCAAGGGTGCGTCTGGTTTCCACGCCAAACCTTCATTTTGAGCTCGATCATAAAGTTTTGCACCAAAACCCCCTTGCCCTGGGGTGGCATGTCTGGTTGTCACCAAAACACAGTGTTCAGATTGCAATAATGAGCCCAAAACGAAGGTTTTCAAACAATAGAAAAAACCTATTCTTTGCAGAATCACAAAGAAAAACCTTCAAGTGATATCGGGACATTACAACGCCGCTATCGCTCTCAGTAATAGATACTAAAAGATAAGAAATAGGTATCCAAGCCCAGATGCCCGTATTTTCTTATGATTTTTTTTTGAGTAACCCTCTTTCAATCTCTTCCTGTGATACGATACCTAGAGTGATCAGAATGGATAGGGCACATCTCTTACCTCCGACAGATGCAACTTGTGTCTCGCGACTTTATCGTAGCATTCCCTAAACCCGTGGACAGCTAGACGCACCCCAAAAAATGAAATCGTGTACTGTACCCTTCAACCTACCGGTAGCATGATACGCAAGCAGAACAGCAATGGACGCCAAGGAGGGCAAAACACCACCCCCAAACCTCCCAGCAAGACGTAACCCGCAAATGAACATATCCCCTGTCTTCATTCTTCCTGGTCTATTCCACCCTCGATCTACCCCACTAATTGAGCTCTCCAAGCAACATCAGCGCTTGTTCCGACAACCGCATACCACTTGCCCGGCAAACACACTATGTCACCAAACGATCTACCTCATCCCCTAGATGAAGGTGGATCCCGAGGTGCAAGGAAAAAAACTCAGGAGGACGACACAATGGTAAGCTACCTTGGTCTTTTCTCTCGATTAAACTCTTCAGACTGACCAGGAGAATAGATCACTGTTTCTCTGACCGAGGCTGAGTGGTGCGATCTTTTCATAGATCTTGGGCATGGCTTAAAGTCCGCATTGCCGCATTTGCCTCGTGACATCAGGATAATTAAAGCTTTTGCACACCTGAGGGGACTATGCGCCAATTCAGTTGCAACAGACAGCTTAAACGTTTGCCATCCCCACCATTCCTTATAACCATATTCCCTACCTCAATATTTCTTTCCGTCCCTTCCCCATACTAACTACCCTTCTCCCTCCAGAGTTTCCAAGAGAGATACTACCGGCAAGAGGCCAGTGCTGCGGCTCAGAGGTCGAAACATAGTCAATCTAGGCCCCCAGAGGCGATCGATACCGCTCTTGAACATCTACGCAATCGAGAAGTATCCGAAGAATTCTTAGGCGTTGTTAGAGCTACCGATGGGCTTGACCGCAGTATTTCGTCTCTTTTGGCTGAATCCAATACCGGCCCAAAGCCGCTCATCAAAACAAACGGAGGCAAGCCGGTAGCTAACCAGCAGGTAAGTTCATATACAAATGTCTAAACCCTTACTGAATATGCCATGTTTTGCAGATATTCTGCCATGACAAGAGCGTTCTTTTTCTCGATGAGCATGAGTCTGATTCAGAGGAAACTATCAAGTCAAGGGCTAGTGTTTCCGCTATGAACCCCGCCACAACCAGCAGTCATGAGAACTCCGATAGTCTCCAGGCAGAAAACATTCAAATGGCAAACAAAATCGAACACGGAAGGCCAGAGTCTACATCACCTACTACAAGCACTGTCGCAGTCATCAACCTGGAAGCCCCCGATAAGTCTTTAACCTCAAAAACACCATCTAGATCTTTGACCTTACCCACCAACCAAGCAGACTCTTCGGTCAACCCAAAGAGTCCTCCAACTTCATCGCCACCTTACACTAATATCGCGAACCAGATATCCTCCTTGTCGCCGGGCGAGTCCCCTGGGGCTCTCCGTCTGGAGAGTTTTTCCCCAATCCTAAACACCATAAAGGAAAACCACTTGGCAGAGGACCGATGCAGAGATTCTCAGGTCTACGGCGGTGCACTCGAAGAGTATCTTGCACCATTACCCCGACATTCCTTAATAGTTGGAGTTGGTGATGTTGAGGGGGATGTTACTACCCCATCAAAATTATCCGCTACCGGTTGGATTCCAGAAGTGACTCTCTCAAGTCCGCCAGGCCAGGCGGTTGTGTTCACTTCTCCCTCGAGTACCTGTACAACCAGTGCACGCAGCGGTATTCCCAGATCCACTGCCACATTCGGAAAAGACAAGGAACTTCCACTCACTCCTCCGGCGCCGATCACGGCGAGGAAGCTAATTTCGAAAACCCTAAAGGGAAAGGAAACAAGCCCTTCTGCCTCAAGAGCCAAGGGAGCAAAAGAGGAGCCCGCACAACCTAAACTTGGTCTAATGAAGACACACCGCACTCCCTCAGGTGGCGACGGTAATACTTCAAATATATCCAAACTACTAGCCAAAAAGACATACCCTGTCCTGAAAAGGGAAGTGGCTTCAAAAGAGAAAACTGCAGACCTTGGACGTTTTACCAGCTTGAGGGATACAAGTGCTACCCCCCCACCCAGAGTCATTGATCGTAGTCTCCTCGCCAAAGACGTAAACAACAGAAAGTTACCCATTGCAAAGATGCTTGAAAACGTTAAACCCGAACTTGGTGCAAAATCCAAAGCTGTGGCACCCCCGGTTCCAACAGACCCCCGCTCTCCAGATATTGTGCCAGCCACAAAGCTCTCCACCAAGTCTCTTACACCGCCGCCAGTCCATCGAGGGAAACATGCACCAGGATATATCATGGACAAACGTGGAACAAGAACCAGTATCTCGTCAAGTCTTCTATCCTCTCCCAAAAGACGGTTCAATTCGGCCATTTCTATCTACGAGGACACGCCCCTTTTAAGGGAAGATTCTTCATCAACACTCTTGAGTGCCGCATCTAATAGCAGCGAAAACATAGCAACCATGGCATGGGCGGAACCTGAAGCCCTCACAACAGCGGGATTCTCTAAAGGATCCCCGAAGTTGGTTGAAGTTTCCAAAAATGTGACGGAATTCGGTATATCTCTCGGAACCGACAATTCCCAACGTGTGATCCGCTCCCCCAGCAGAATTTTCTCCGGAAATTCTATTAGCACAGTATTGGAATGCGAGGAGGAAGATGCACTACCTCCATCACCCCCCAACTCCGTGAATGAAACAACTAATCCAGCCAGAGGGCGGAAGCCTCTATCTAGCGGAGAGGAGCATCTAGACAAAACTATTGATAAGTCATGCGTCCCCGGAGCAGAGAATACCAAGAACTCAAATCCTCTCCCGGGGCCGATTGTTCCCCAAGACAACGGAGAATTCCAATCAAATACGAACCAGCCTCTCGCCCGAGCCATTGGGATGCCATCGCCCAGTGAGCGTGCAAACACGGTTGCGTTCAACACCGACTATTCTAGCCCTAGTCACGGGAAAGTGCCCTCTAAAACTCTTCAGAGACCGACTAGTACTGGATCAAACAAGACTACAAAATCGACAAGCACTGCATCGACAAGCACTTCCAGATCCAGCGCAACCGTGAAAGCAACTAGGCCTCGTTATAGTAGAAATGACAAAATAGTCCCCCCAAAAACTATTCCTACCAAACCGCCGGAGAATCCCAAGGCTGCGGCCCAAAACGGGAACGTGCCCACAACCAAAAATTTCCTCCGTCATGGCTCTAGCATCAAAATGGGCCCGCCCTCTACCTTCCGGGCAGCAACCCCCAACAATACACTCGCAGAGAGCATCGATTCGCACCTCTCAGGCCGAGACGCTAATGGTACACGGGTTTCGCACGAAAACATTCAAAACTCGGAAGCCAAAAACAAACTGAAGCCAACAACCGAGTACGCCCATAGCAGAAGCAATCCCCCGAGTGGTGAATGGCTGGGGAGTCTAGGTCACTATAAAGGCGATACGGCTAAGAGCATGGGTAATTCCAGAGCCATCACAGGGCAGGAGACTCTGGCATCCACCAACTCCAAACTTGGCGACACCATCCCGTCTAAGCATTCAGAGATTTGTATGCCTAGAAGGAATTCTCAAAGCCACCCAACTGAAGGTCCTCTAAAGAGAAATGATGAGAATCAGGCCCTCCCCCAAACCCCACCCACAGAAAATCCTCCCCGAAAAATGTTGACTCCAACCAAAGTTCAGGCACTCACGGATCTAAGTTCGATTGGTTCAAAGAGGAATCCTAGGACCCTACCCTCCCCTGGGCGCAGCTGGTTCGGACGCCGCTCTCTCGTTTCAGTGCCCACTTTGGCTATATCTGGAAAAGAAAACTATGACCCTTCCAACGCACAGCAAGGTACTACTCCGGTCAAGAAAGAGAAAGTCAAATCCAGATCTCTCGGGAACCTCGCCGGATGGCTTCACAGACCCCCCAAGACGTCCCCCGATGGGCTATTTTCTCGTGGAGCCAAAAAGGATAAGGATAAATTGGCAACTGCAACCTCTAGTCTCATCGTCCGCTCAGTCCCCGCGACACTTACTCTACAGCCACCCGGCCGCCACGAGCAAAGAGCCGAGTTCTCGCACAACGATGTCGAGAACCTTATCAAGCGCCTTTCCACTCAGCTTCCAGGTACTCCAGATGGCTCATGCGGATTCAACGCACTTGGAGGCAAATACTACACCTCGGGCTATATTCCCAACCTCGATGAGAGCCCATCCAAGGAGTCCAATCCCATCGCCGTTTGCATGGATCTGATCAACTCTGCTAGTGAAGAAGCTCAGAGCCCGAGAAGGGAACGCTTGCTTCAAATGAGCAGCATTATGGTTGATGCTGTAAGCAAGAGCAGAGACGCGGAATGTGCAGCGGAAGAAGCCAAGATAGCAGCGGCCAAGGCTGAATACGCATTCCTGGAGACTAGGAAATGCCTCCAGTCAATGACGGAGCTCTTGAAAAAGAGGGGAAAGGACGTGCTCTGCGAAATTCTGTTTTAAATCTTGCGCTGCTCACGGTAAAGTGATAGTAATCCGGCGAACCCCTCTGAAAGGTCGCTGGTTTCCTTGATATTTCCTTTCTCCAATCCCTTTTCTTCCACCTAATTTCATGTTTCTTTTTTCCAAGTCTGTCCGTCCGTATGTACTATGTATGTCAGCTTTCCACAGGGCAGACCAGCTTTTTATCATGCGTCCTGAGCATACTTTGTATCATACTGTTTACCGGCAAACTACAATAATGGCAAAAACAGGCATTTATAAATCCTCGTCATACCACACTGTACCCGAGTGCTTTGACATTTTCCTGATCAATCAAAACCAACCAACCTCATGACTCTCGGATATCACCTCCGCATTCCCATGTCTCACCCACACCAGAATAACCGAAACAGAGAGAAGGCATGTTATCGTAGAACGGGCGCCAACATCGCAAATCCATGAGAAAATCTGTGGGAGAAGAAGGTTCAGGATACTATCGATGCCAGGGGGGTATTTTTGATAGCTGATATAAATTACCATCGCATACCCCTGATATTATACTCGATTACAAACCTGGGCGTTGAGCACACCAAGCTGCCAACTTGACAACATCGAAACAAGCGAAAAATACTACAGAAAAAACGGCAGAGAGAGGGGGAAAAAAACCAACAGACCCCAACTAACGATCCCAAGAGTTCTCGTTATCTCTACAATCCCTTCCTTGCAAGCTTTAGCACAATAATTAATGTAGATGACATCAGTTATCTCAGGGGTCAAAACATCACTAATGCAGTACCTGATCAGGAAAGCTCGAATGTGCCTATCCAACCTTTTATCGCTCTCGGCATACAGTACCGTACTTGCACAGTACATACCGAAATGCACTCTACTGTACCACTCTTTACTTGACTAGCAAAATGCTACGGAAGAGTAACATTCGCCTCCGCTGCCATGATACCGGTATGTATTTTTTTTTTTCCATTTTCCATTTTTCAACCCTCTCCCAGCACCTTGTAACCACCAAGTTACACAGTGCTGAAGAAAAAAAAAAGAATTTCAGGAGCGGGTGCCTTCTTGTGCAACGTCTCCCCAGAACAAAATCTTATCATACCCACGGACTCACTTACCGTACGACCTCCAAGTCTGTGCCCTTTCCGGTCCGGGCGCCGTAACCTGCGACCTTACTGGGTGAGCGAGCGGGTACCAGTACCGTTAGCGAACGGGCACGATACCGTACCGTACTGATAGTACGGTATAGTTATGATACGATAGAATTTAGTCAAGGCACGGGCCCAAGAAAGGTATATCAGGCCAAAAAAATGAAGACGAAAGGAGAATGAATGTACTAGTACTCGAGTATCGTACCAGTAGTAAAAGGGGGAGGAAAAAGAAAAAAAGAAAAAAAATGCGGTGCAATGATTTTGAGTACCGGTACAGTCTATCCGTATGATACGTAAGACGAGCACATGTCTATACAGTACTATCATCGCTGGTAGGGTATATATATACACAATTGGTCTCACAATCATTCCGGGAACTTGACTCGAGAGCACAGTGACACCTGTCATATCCAAGTTCCTGCACCACAGTATTGTAACTCGAGTACGGTACAGTACTTGTGCCGCTCAGGGTAGTTTCCCCACATCTGCATAATCCCATTCGGTATCATTGTGCGAAACAAACAAACAAACGAAAAGAAAAAAAAAGGGTGAATTACTGGGGGTGGTGGTACAAGCACTGTATGATGGATGTCCCCTGATCGGAGCATGGGGATTTCAACAATACCAAGTGGGAGGTTACTGTACCGTATTATACTAACCAGTGCTTGTACCAGTGCTCGTATACGACATGCGTGGTCATATAGACTCACTCGTGATAGTGATTCCTCAGTAGGATCTCTCCCCCCCTTTCCTAACAGACCTTACCTTACCTGCTGTTACTACCGTATACTGGTATGGGTACGATACCCTACTACCGTACCACCGGTAGTACTGTATGATAATTTGTGAGAGGGGGGGGGTGGTGGGGGAGTTGCAGCCGGTGCGTCGGAAGTGGGGAGTGATTAGATTGGATACCACAAAGTCGCGTTCATCCTTTCGTTTTACTGTACTAGTACGTAGGGCTGTCCTGTGATTCCGATTAATCCGACTGCGCTGGTATTCGTCTTGGACTAGGCCCAGTGCGGTATCATACTGGAACAACTAGGTCCGATCATTCCTTCGTTTTTTGTTTTGTCCCTGGAATTTTATGGGAGAACGAATGAAGAGGTCATTTCTGCAAACATGAGAATTGAACTTTTTTTTCTTTTTTTTTCTCTCATTCTTATTCCCGTATCATAACCGCACGCATCACCACGCTTACACAAACTCCAATCGCGCAGCGGAGTTGAAGCCGGAAGCTGAAGCCCTAAATCCCCGCACAATGGGACAGTCCAGTCCAGTCCAGCTTCTATGACACTTTACAATACTCGGGTGCGCACGAATACTGTATTATATATAATATGCAGTTATAATACCATTATTATTTTTTACTTTTTTTTTTTTCACCAGGAGGATCTATAGTTCCAGTTTCCAGTCCCACTGTGCCTCACCAACCCAACGCACTGACCAACCCCACTTTTATAATCGAAGACTGCCGCTCACACCGTCTAGAACGAGACCTATCCCGTCCTTTGTCATCCATACACATACATACACAAACTCTTCGCTTTGCTACTCTAGGTTAAGCTCCGCAAGTACCGTACCGTACTCGAGTAAGGTACATGGGTAGGGTGCTCGACATAAATTACAAGTACCGGTACCATACCGCAACGGCGACTTGTACTTGTACCACGAGGCACAATAACCACCTCCGGCGTCGCCGGGTGGGTTCTCTGGGGGGGGGGGGGGAAAGAAAAAAAGAAAAAAAAACCCACGTTTCCACGAGTGACTATACATGAACCGGAGGTGCTGTGGTAATTGTTATACAGGTACATACATGGGCTCTCCAAAACTAATCCAATCCGCCTTCGTGCTGAGGTGAACTCCCGGTACTGATCATACATTGATCATCAATGCACTTACTGTACTCGTATTGTAGCTCCTGACGTCGTGGGTGGGTGAGAGATGGGTAAAAAATAAAAATAAAAATACACTTTTTATTTTATTTTTTATTCTTTTTTACTCGAGTACTACTTTCTGTACTACAAGTATAATACAGCGCATGTAACCTTGCAGTTTCCCCACCTCCCCCAACGGACTAATCAATCCCACGTAGGAAAAAAAAAAACCTCCCAAAAGTCCCGACATCTCGGTTCTAGCCGGGCACCGTCGAACGGTACTTGCATGTCTAGCCCGGTTCACACAGTACTTAACACCGCCCCCCCCCCCTCCCCCTCCCCTCCCCCCCCCTTCCTTTCCCCTTCCTTCACGTTCTCTCTCTCCCCACTCGGGATTTCGGTATCGAATTCTCGCCGATGGTACCGGTACGGTCTTGTACCCCCCACTACCCCCACGCCATACATGCACGTCTTTGCTTCACCGCGCACTGAAGGGAGAGTTGAGGGCTGGTGAATTGTTCGTGCGCAAATCGTGAGGACTTGGAGTGTTGTAGCCACGATCTGTTTGTCGGGGAGGTACCATACCGCGGGTAGGTAGGCAGGCAGGTGGTTTGGGATCGGGCTTGAGAAATGGGAGGGGGATGATGAAGTGAGTATTTGTAATTTGATTCGGGTAGGTAGGTACAGGTAGGCATGATGTGGGTATGTGCTGGGGTTTTTTTTACTATAGCTAGTTATTCTACGGCTCTAGACCCCGAGAATTGGGATGCTTTGTTGATACGCTTGATGGATGGATGGATATATTGATAAAGCGGATACCGTAGCTAAAGGGGGAACTTCTCTCCATCGTGGGGATCCTCCGATTGGGTTAGTTTTGGGTGGGTTCCGTGGTATAGCTCTGTACTTACTACTGCTTGCTTGCTGCAGTAAATAAAAAAACTCCTTCAGCATCGGACTTCATGCCGACCCTACTTCCTTTCTCTATTTCTTTTATCCCCCCCCCTTTTTTTTCATATCTCTCTTCTCTCTACCGTTGCCTCTTTCTCCCCCTCCCTTTTTGTTTATCATATCATGCCCTCCCTTTTCTTCCGTTTTTAACCCTTACTTCCTTGTCCTTGCTTCCCTACAGCACTGTACCTTCCCATCTGCTCGTAATGCTTGGCTGCAGGCCCCTATGTACTCGAGTACTCGAGTACCTTTATCTCGGACCGGAGTGCATCTACCGACCTGCCTGTGTGGACAGACAAGAGGCAGCGTCTGCTGCGGGCCAGCCAGCCAGCACCGAAATCCCGTAATTCCCTCCCTCCCTCCCCTCCCTCCCGCTTTCCGGATTCCAGTTCAATCAAAGTTTCATTCATCCCTCCGGGATAACGTGCAATGGGAAAAGAAAAGAAAAAACCAAAGACCTCTCGCCTGAGCATCTGCTGTTGCTGCTATGGGTGTGTTAATTTATGTCATGTACAAGTATGATACCAGTGCAGGGCTGGTGCTTTAATATAACCCCGCCCTACCGTGCAATGCCAGTACCGAATAGAAACATCCGAGCCTTTCCAGAAACAATCTTGTTCCTTCCTTTCTCCCCAAAGCCGATGTGTGCGAGTTAGGGTATGGTAATTTAACGTTGTTTGTGTGTTTTTTATACATCACAATATTATAATATACATATATATTTTAGCAGAGTAGGTGTTCCAGGATCGGCGGCCCAGGTGTCTCCCTCTTTCTCTCTGAATTTGTTTCTCTCGTAAATAGTTGAAATGTACACTGTATGTATGCATGTACGGTACGCACCTGCCCTCGCAAACTAATTAATTCCAGCGAGTAAGCCATGCATTAGTTAAAGTGACACATACACAGGATGTGCTGTCCTGTATTCTTCCTCCCCATTCTCTCTCGGTAGCGCCAAATGTGCGCATCCGTAAATGCTCTCCCCCACTTGATGGCAATACCATACTTTTACTGTGGAGTGTACATTAATATACCGGTACAGGTGGGCGAGAGTATCCTGCCCCGCCCTGCCCTTCCTGATATCTTAGAAGAGGGGGAGGAGAGAAATAAAAAAATAAAAAATAGAGGTATGATAATGTCTATCGCCTTAATTGAGTGGAGTGACACTGGGTGAAGCAGTGCAATACCGCTAGCACGAGCAGAATGTCAGCGCCTCGGGTCTTTATTATTATTATTACTATCATTATTCAGCCCATCATTGATCAGACATAGTGTCTCAAACTGACTTAAAACGGCGCGTTCTCCTTGTCATCTCGGCTCGGTACTTGCAAATCCCTGGTGTCTCTTGCCTCCAACGGCTGGTGCCAATTGATGGTGACAGGCGAGGGAGGGAGGGGGATTATCCGCTCCCCATCCTTTGATAATCATCATCTCAGTGAGGCTTCACGGAAAAATTATGGTCCCTTGTTACCGCACTCTCCCCCAGCCCGCTACCATTCTCCAATATGGTGAAGCTAGTACCGGTGTCTCAAAGTACCGATGCTCAATGCAAGCAGCTTTTAACTCCATTACTATATAGTCCAGTATATTTCGTCCCTAGCGCAACTTAACTTCACCGGGATTGAGGTACCTACCCCCGTTCGAACTTGCTCCTCTCTCCCCCACTCACCCCTTCCTATGTATATGGTATGCCGGTAGTGTGTAGACGGTCAAAGCGATTTTCTCCATTTTCCCTGAGCGGGGCAGAAGTAATCACACACTATTTTCTATTCGATACGTTGTAGAAGCTCTGGCTCTCCGGAAGAGCGACTATCGGCGGATCCAAACATGATCTAGGAGACGAACTCCCCGAGTTGGAAGAAGCCATTTTGATCCCTAATTCTGACTTCTCACATCACCTTATCCTGGCTGATTTTTCTTTTGGAGGTGGCAATGGCCCTTACGGCATTGTGCAAGATTATGCGAGCAGGAATAATAATAATAATAATAATAATAAACGGCTAAAAAAGTAAAGTAGGCCCCCAAAGAAATAGTCCCCGAAAACGAGATTTTAAGGTGAGAAAGCCTGTGCCCGCTCCGACCAAGCGCTTGCCGCCGAGATCCCAAAGGAAGCCCACCCAAGCACAGTACAATACCAGCACAGAAACTGCCGACAGTTCTATTATATTCCCTGTATGCATCTAGTAAATGAGTGATATCCTGTGCCAGTGATTGTATTCACTACCATATAACCCCGTTTTTCATGAGAGTTGTCATTCTGGAACGATCTGTTTTGCGACACCCCCCCATTCGAGGGCTTCCCTGGGGAATCCGGGTCGTATCACCTTCATCCAACCCCCTTGCATGATATTCTCTGGGCCAAATGCAAGTGATCAGTATATCCCGGCTTTGCTCCGGTAACTTGCAAGTTATGGGGTCCGACCTTACTTGCGGCCTGCCAGAACAGCTTGAGTTCCTGGGGAGGGGAAGGGGGAAAGACATGCCTCACGAGATGCTCCCCTTGCGGCTGTACATACCGTACAATAGCAGTTTCACCACCAATCAGGATATAGATGGGGTGGGCAGATGCCCCGCAGAAAGTATCAGTACCGGTATTTGACTGGGTTTATTCCGGCCTATCGCCCCTATTCCCTGGAACCTGGGAACCGATATATACCCTCGCGTGGTGGCAAAGAGACAATTTAAGCTTGATCGAGATTATCAAGCCAATATCGGAATTACCGATCCTCAGTCTTTTTTTGCATAGGAGCTGAACATCTTTTGCATGCCCACACGATGCCGAGAAGGTCCTACCTGCCCCATATTCCCCATCAAAATTTCGGCGGCTCCAGCCACCTTCCCTTCCCGTCTTCATCCTCCGTTGTCAGTACAGAGCATTCGCAATCTCGTCAGCAATCCTGTCGCCCACAATTTCCCAGACAATATTACTTTCACTACCGTATTATTGCAATATTCAGGCACCCGACCTGCGTTGGGGAAATATCTTAGGCCCACGACTCATTGTCTCCACATCCCGAAAATATCCGACGTAAACTATGTTACTCTGGATATCCGTTACATGGGGCTTGCGGGTATGGAGTTAAAACATTAGATTGTCCACCAGCTTCTTCCAATCCGGGATTGTTGTATACTAGGACTCGTATAAAGTGATTTCCAGGCCGGGGTAGATCAAAGCCTAGCAATACCAGTCCTAGGATTTGTTACTTTGGGGGGGGCGTCGGCGTTACCAAGCATTTTGTCTCTTGCCGAATAAACCTCTTGACCCCCGCGATAAAATGCATTCTCGTTCACATCGTTAGTCTCTCCCCCAAAAAAGGAGAATATTGAACCGGGGGAATGCGATACCAAACTTGATTTCCGTTTTTTTATACCCACACTCTCAGCAGCTCACCTACCCCTATACCATGGAGTCGCAACAGTGCCAAATCAATGGGAATGCACCGGTGCCTCGGAGAAATTTCGGGAGGATGAGATTAAAGACCACACTGCTAGGGTCTTCAACCCAAATCATGAGTCGACCTGGGTAAACCTTTGGTAAAAAAAAAATCACCAGGGCTACGGAGGTCAGGTATCCGGTACTTCTATCGTGCCAATATGTACTTTACAGTAACCCAAGACCTTGCCTATCCTGCTCGCTTGCAACAATACTTTGGTTTCAAAATAACATGGGTGCGGTAACGACTCGCGATCGCAAGCGACCGGGCAAAGAACGAAACTGTGTAAGTTATAAATTATCCCAAACGGTATGCTCCTGCCCACGATTCCGCGCTTCGCTACCTGTGGTTTTGTTTAATCAATTAATAGCTCTGTTCCTTGTCTAGCCCAAACCCGTCCCTTTCATGGTGGTACGGTGTGAGCGGCAAATCCAAACAAAATATGATAGAGACAACCGGCGAAAGCTTTAACTCAAGGGCACACCATGGAAGAAAAGCGACTATGGTTCTAGGATCTTCACCCACTTTCTGTTGCTCAGCTGTTCAGGTGATCAACCCTGTTTCGATCGAGGCGCAAGCGAACCACGGCTGTATGACAGGGGACAGGAGAGAGGTCAAAGCTTTGAGAGGGATTATCGATGTGCCAACGCAATATGCGAAAGAGGTTTTTTGGATAGTGGGAATGATAGTATGGCGTACTTTATGGGTACTCCGCGCTAACTGCCCAGAATGGTTGATAGACAGCATCCTGACTGAGGCGCACTGCCAGAATTCCCTAGGCTAACTCAAGCCTCCAGTGGGGTTCGAAGACTGTGCTAAGATGCTGAAAGGCCAAATGATTCCCTAAAGATGTCATCCGGGGTAACTTCCGGTGTAACTTCTAGTGTATTTCTCGAAGAAGCGAGTGGATATCATCTCAGTTCCGTCAAGCTGGTTCGCTTGAATAGTGAGGGCTGTGCTTAGAATAGCAGGACACGGGTAACCGTTGAGGAACCCACCGGTCCTTAAGCAGAGGTATGGTACCGGCAGCGGATAGTGGCCATCATAGAATGCCGAACTCGTAATGCACAGGTATCACCTGAGAAGAGGGAAGATACAGGACACTTGCAACGCCCAATAGTTTCTCGCGATATGACTGGCCCTTCTCCGCAACCACCGACAGTCCACGATTTTTTCCTGCTCATCTGCAACTCCGCTTGACAAGGGGGTCCATGACGTTGGGCGCGAATTTTCTTTTCTCCCACCGACCCGGGGCACTGGTTCCACACCCCAATGTCGACAGCGTTCACGACCCGAAACCAAGGCTGGCCCCCAACTCGCAAGAACGGAGTTAGCGAATAGCGATAACTTGGGAACAGGAGCAGAATGAAGCAAGATAAAAAAAACGGATCCGCACGACACCCAAGAGGAAAAAAAGGGAAGGAATAGGGAAAGGCCAAGAGGAATAAAACAGGATCAATGGAATAGGGTGGAATAAAATGAAATACCGGTAAGGTGGGAACTTGATGGAAAATACGGTAGGCGAAAAGCGGAAGGAAAAAAAAAAAGAGGGAGTGGGAAGGTTCCTCCTTACCCAGAGGAGCGGGGTGCAATCAACGGAACACGCATGCAGTGCAAGGAGATGGATGCACATCGTTCTCCTTTGCTGCAAAGCTGGTTGGCTTGGATCCCCCGCCTGGGAGAAGGTAGGGTGCCTGACTGCCAGCTTGCTTCCTGGCCACTGCGTCGCTCTATTACTGTATTTGCCTACAGCCGAATTTGCGCTTTCCCTTTCGTCGCTCCACGCCTGAGCATCACACCCTGCAGCCCAGATCGACAGAAGGCTTTTTTTCTAATGAGCGATCATCGCGTCTCCGTGATAATTCTCATCACTCGAGTATCCCATTTTTCGCCCCCTTCGTACTCAATGCTGGGATAATAAGCGGGAAAGGGGGGGAACAACGAGCCCGGAATAAGGGCCTGGATCCAAGGAATAGCGCACACTGCACCGCTCATGTACACAAGGGAGGTGGCATGCTGGGTCGGGTAGGTACACAACTACCGGTGCCGGTATGGTACCATGCTTCAAGGTTCAATCGCGATAAAAAGGAATATGGATGATGTGGTTGGGAAGGGAAGGTCTTGGAAGAACGATGGTAGAACACGGTCAGCGCATCCGCAGATTGAGAGGTTGAAGGAGGGGAAGGGGGAGGAGGAGGAGGAGGAGGAGAGGGATGGGATGATGGAGAAATGGCAGGATAGAGCGATAGGGGGGCGATTCCCGGCAGGGTGGAAGTGTTTTGTGTGTGGTGTTGTATGACTACCGTGTTGTAGGTAGGATACCGGTATGGGACGGTAAAGGCACCGTAGCAGATCTGGAAACCAGCGCCTCGGGCGGTGAGCCGCTGCGCTGTGCTGTAGTCTGGAGGTAGCAGGTGTCCCTCGAGGCTGCAGCGAGCAGCACTTCAGAATTCTCAACCATTTCTAACACTTGCAATACTGTACGACGTGATATGGATGCTGGGACGCCATATCATCCGGTATGGTTGTCGGGCATGTCATGGGGATAGCGGTATCTACTCGAGTACAGTACGGTACTCGTACAGTGCTAGCACAGCGCCAGAGGACATGGGCCGGTGCGGTTCAAGGGCAGGCCCATGAACCGGACCACGGTGTGCGCTGGCGCAGAGTTACGCACGAGGAAGGGAACCGAGGGACGCCGTGGAGAGAGGAATAAGTTAGAGCAAGCACGGGCGGGGGTGCCCTTGGAGGGGAGGCGTTGCGCTGTTAGGGGCGGAAAGGGTATCCTCACCCGCATAACGTACGGAGCAGTGGGGCGGATGGTCCGGGGCCATTCATCAGGAGCCCACCCAGTTATACATGCGCATAAGTCATGAACCCAGCACACACACACCTTTCATGCACACACACCCCGAGACACACGCACACATACCGCAAAAGGGTCCTAGTCGATAGGGTATGGGGAGCGAGGACTCAGTTATGGTATGATATCCCATCCCCTGGACGCTCACCCGCTCGCTCATCCACTCAGCACTAACTAAGCAGCATTAACACTGCTGGGAAAGGGGATCCCAGCAGTCTGGTTCGGGTTCTTCACCACCACCCTCTTCTCTGCTCTTAAAAGTATATTTACGTATCGCCCCTTCCTCTCTTCTTTCCCCCTTCTCCCCCACCCGATTTGACACCCGCTCGTCAAAAAAAAAAACACTCCTGCTCGCTCTCCATCCTCCCTTCCCTCTCTTCTCTCTTCTCTCGCCTCTCCTCACCATTTCCCTCCTCACGCCTCCATCCCTCCCCCGCATTTCCGTCGACCTGCTGAATTGCGGTCTCCAACCTGTCTTCCCTCCGATACTTTGCTCTTCATCCACCCTCAGCTTCCCTTCCACCCCTTGACCCTCCCTGACCTTCCCACGCCAAGGCCAACCCACTGCAGCGAGTCCTTCCCGACCATCCTCGACCTGAAGGAAGGATAGATAAATAGCTGATAGCCATGACTTTTAACCTGTAAGGGATCCTCTCCCTCGCTTCGTGATTCAGATGGTCGAAACAAAAAAAAAATGAAAAAGAAAAAAAAATGAGACGCAAATGGAAAACTCGTGTTTCGCTCACACCGATATCAATTGACAGCAACACGCACCAATTTGAGAACGGTAGACGGTTTCATGGCTACCGAGGTGGTGCCTACATGTATCCAAATGATGAGGTTTGTACAATTTCCCCCCTTCAAGCATTATTGTATGACTTTCTCCGTTCACAAAATGTTAAGGGGTCTGTGAGTTCGGTGCTAACGTCTTCAAAGAAAGAGCAAGACCGCCTTGATATCTACCACAAGATGTTTCTCGTCGCACGACAGGAGGAGCTTCACCGTGCCCCGATCACGAGAAATTATTCCCCACCCAGAATCCTAGATCTCGGTACCGGGACCGGTATTTGGGCGATTGATATGGCGGAGTAAGTTCCCCTCGCGTTCCCACTGCAACGATGGTTACTGATTTATCGAATAGTAAATATCCTGACGCAGAGGTAGGAACGATCCCTTTGGCTATCCCATGGTCAACTCCTAACGCTTGGCTTGCGACAGGTCATCGGCATCGATTTATCACTGATACAACCGAAATGGTAAGTGAATAGAATCCAATCACAGGACGAGCTATCCCGCTGATATAACGTTGCCTAGGATACCGCGTAACCTCCGATTTCAAATTAGCGATTTTGAGAGTGAATGGACACTGGGGAAAGACTCTTTTGACTTGATTCATCTTCGGGCTGGCTGTGGGAGTGTCTCTAGTTGGCCTACGCTTTTCCGTCGAGCGTTTGAGTTCGTCCCCACGCTGACCCAAGATGCGCAGTCCCAAAGCTAACGAATGTTGCATTTTAGACATCTCAAGCCCGGTTATGGTTGGATTGAATATATAGATATCGATATTCAGGCCCGTAGTGATGATGGCACACTTACCACCACCCATGCTTTGTATCAGTGGCAGCAATACTTGCTTGAAACCACAGAGCGTGCGGGCAAGCCGTTGAGATATGAAGCACGAACTGGCCAATTGCTTAGGGAAGCGGGTTTTGTGGACGTCCAGGAGGTGGTGCTGAAGCTTCCACTGAGCCCTTGGCCGTCAGATCCATATCTCAAAGATTGCGGACGCTGGTACAATCTTGGGCTCTCGGAGGCCCTTGAGGGCTATACATTAGCGCCTATGACAAGGGTTGGAGGGTGGTCGGTCGACGATGTGAAGAATCTACTTGGGCCAGTGCAGAAAGACATCAACAACCGACAGATACACGCGTATAGCGATATGTATGTGGTCACTCTCTGTGGATTGCCTTTTGAGGGCTCACTAACGCCTATCTCCTAGGCACATCTGGATAGCTCGAAGGCCGGACTGGGGCGTCGAGGATAAGAAAATTTCCGGCATGAAGCGAGCGGTAACGAAATAGCGATCTTCATCTCTCGTTTTCAGTTCTCTAAACCGGAGTTTCTGATTTCATTCATTGTAGTGTACTGGAGCGGCCTGCTAGAAGTCGACTTCTACTGGACTATCGGGGGACCCCCTCAAATTAATTGTTAACGATGGTAATTGGAGGAACCAGCCGGTGTGGAGAATTCCTTGTTCATTTCTGTTTACTGCATGCAACTCTCCCCCTTTCTTGTCTCTATTCCTCTCGTCCTTATTGCTTGATTTGGTGTTGTTCGGCGTACCATTGATTTTCTTGATATCGCTTTCTATCTATTTGTTCTATTCTTTCGGAGGTGGAAAAGAGGAGGGGGCCGCCGAATAAGGTGGGCGGACGTCTCTTAAAAAAATCCTTTCTACTTATGATATTATTTCTGGTGAAAAAAATAGGTTCCGGGGTGTCATTCATGGTTTGCCACTTGTTTTGTTTTTTCGACCATTTTGGTTCCATTTCCCATTTCCCATTTCCCATTTCATCTTTCTTTTTCCCCTTTCTTAAAAAAGAAAGGGAACAGTTTCTCTCTACGATGCGATTTTGTAACTGGGGGCGTTCTTTTCTCATTTTTCTTCCTTCCTCTTCATTTTCTCCTTTTTCGTGCTCTATCCCACTCTCCCCGATCCGTCCTGCTTCCTTCATCTTTTAAGCTTTATGTTTTAGTATTCTTGCTCCGGCAGGAACCTGGTTGGAGAATATTTACCAGCAATTGGGAAAGATATAATTTCAACAAATAAAAAGGAATTGTTCGCGCAAGTTACAAAGGGCTCCTTAGTCTTCGCAATGAGCTCACGGGGTTGGTTGCTATGAGCGCATCCTGTCACACTGGAACCTGGTATCTTCCGTCCGAAGAAAGGTGCCGATCTAGCGATGGCTTTGCTTACAGTTCTGTATCACATTATCGCACAGCAGGTTGGTATTCATTCCTCAAAAAGAGAAACGGATCGTAATCAAAGCAACGGAAGATATCACAATCCGGGATCGTATCATATCGCGTAGCTTCTACGACCGTAACCCCAGCCAGTCCAGTTCAATTCGCACCAGTTGGCTGCCACAGTACCACTGTACCTGGCTAGCCAACTTGACTTTGAAAACTTCATGAGTTGTAACTTAGCGAAGCGGCACGCAGGGAAAAAGAGATATCATACCGTAGCCGTACAAGTACGGTAGGTTAGGGAAGAGGAAGGGAAGGGGCGGGGCAGGCGGTCTGAGGGCCTGGGGACGTCTGAAACATCCACCCCAGCCGCAGGATTGTTCGTAGCTCTCTGCCACGAGTAAAACAGAACAAAATAAGAATACAAGCGCGTTGCTATGGTGAAGGGAGGTCATACGGGCTTTTGCCTATATTGGACATGTGAGCATTTTCGGTGGCTGTCGTGCGGCAACCTTCTTTCTTCGGGTGAACTGTCCTGCGAAAGCACGGAGAGTGAAAGTAAATGCCGGTATGATATTCGGGCCCCGGTTAGCCGGCGAAGCAAGAAATCATCGGAGGGAACTTGGCCGCTTTTGCTCCGTGATGCAGATGTCGAATGAACTGTGGAGTTTTAGGTTTTGATGAGGTCTCCTATCATATCACACTTGCCTTAGCGTGCCGCAACCACTTTCAAATTTAGAAATGGTGTCGGCAAAATTTCCGTTGCCTTGACGACCGGTGGACTGTGCTCATGTTTACTTCTTGGCATTATTCAACCTACAAAAGCCACCTCACACTCCCTCTCCATACGAGTTCTCTCTTCTACGCTCTCCATCTCCCACATTACTCCTCCTCATACAAAAAAAAAACCTCTATCCTCGCTTATTGCAATCGCTGCTAGTCAGTTCATCTTGTTACTTCACTCCTTCCCTTCAAGCAGCACGACCCTCAGAAGTAGCCACCGACACTCAGGAATCATTCAGTTGAGATCCTGTTCAAGATACAACGATTCATAAGCAACTATATTATATCCTTTATAATATCAGATCCCTTCGGATATCGTTTTAATTCGAGATGGCCACTACAGCTGTGCACACACCAGTGAAGTCTCACTCCAATATTTTCTCCACCAGGGCCGCAGGTGGTCGTATGTTGCTCACTCCCTCCCCTCGGGGAAGGAATAGCCCAAATAATGCCTCGCCCTTCACTCCTCCTGCTCGCCGTCGTCATCACGATCCTTCATGGCACGCCGATCCTCCCCGCAAGGCCAGTCTTTTCGGAGATGCTTCTTCCCGGACCGGCAGTTCGCTGACGGCCGCATTCGCATCATTGAATGTTTCGGGCTCGTCAAAATCCCGTTCGTCGAGGATCGCACCTTCACCGAAGTCGAATATCGCTAGATCGGCTGTTTCACCGCTTCGCCTTGACCTTGGCGTTAGCGATTGGGCGTTGACTGGGACTGGCACTACTGCGGGTCAGACCCCCGTCAAGAGAAAGACCAGATCCGGGACTGGAAAGACCACTATCCGGATTAACGGCGATCGCTTCATTCCTACCCGCGGGGCGTCTTCTCCGACTGCTTCCTCGAAGATTGAGCACCCTTCCCGTCCGGGCACTGGCCATGGCCGATCCAATTCGGTTTTGAGTGGTGGCGTGTTTGGTAACGACGATACCGATTCGACCAATTCCACCTCTGGCGATGATTCCAGTGAGCTTTACCAGCGCCCTAACACCGATTCCCGGGAGTACGAGACTTCGATCGCCGCCGCCTGTGGTGTTAACCTTACCACTCGCATCTTGGCCTTCAAGCCTTCAGCACCAGAGTCATCCAAGCCAATTGACCTGAGATCGCAATACAATCGCCCGCTCAAGACGGTCGCCTCAGCAGCTCAATTCCGCCGCCGTATCCTAACAGCGCCAGAGCGCGTTCTTGACGCTCCTGGCCTTGTCGATGACTATTACCTCAACCTTCTCGATTGGTCTTCGAGCAACCAGGTTGCCATTGGCCTCGAGCGTCATGTATACGTCTGGAATGCCGACACTGGAAACGTCAATGCCCTGTGTGAGACTTCGCCAGACACCTACGTTACGTCCATCAAGTGGTCCGGCGATGGAGCCTACATCTCTCTCGGGCTCGACTCTGGCGACGTTCAGATCTGGGATGTGGAAGACCGGACCAAGCTCCGCACCATGAGTGGCCACCAATCCCGCGTGGGGGTCATGAGCTGGAACAAGGCTATCCTTTCCACCGGTTCCCGCTCAGGCAACATTTTTAACCACGACGTCCGCATTGCGGAGCACAAGACTGCCGAGCTCCTCTCGCACGCCTCCGAAGTCTGCGGTTTAGAGTGGAGGTCTGATGGCGCACAGCTTGCCAGCGGTGGTAACGACAACCTCGTCAACATCTGGGATGCCAGGTCCATTCAGACGCCCAAATGGACCAAGACTAACCACAAGGCTGCCGTTAAAGCCCTCGCTTGGTGCCCCTGGCAGCTCAACCTCCTTTCTACGGGGGGCGGTAACTATGACCGTTGCATCCACTTCTGGAATTCAACTACTGGCGCTAGAGTCAACTCGATCGATACCGGTAGCCAGGTTACCAGTTTGAAGTGGAGCACCAAGTAAGGAATTCCTCCCCATTGATTGCCTAACCCGGTCGTGTATTTCTCTTTGCGGCACAGCTAAGTCTTATCATCATTATAGTTACCGCGAGCTAGTCTCCTGCCACGGAATGCCCGACAACCAACTCAACATTTGGAGCTACCCAAACCTTGTCCGCAATGTAGAGATCCCGGCCCATGAGACGAGAATTCTACACTCTGCCCTCAGCCCCGACGGCCAGACCTTGGCGACCTGCGCTAGTGACGAGAATCTCAAGTTCTGGAAGCTGTTTGAGAAGCGCCCTGGCTCTTCGGGCAGCACTCGTGAGGGGTCGAGCATCACTGGGAAGGGGAATAAAATGGCCAAGCAGATGACTATTCGGTAGATTGGGATTAGGAAGTCGGGAAGGGGTGCAGAGCGAGATGAAGGGGGAGAAGGGCGACCTAAGCTGGAGATGAATGGATGGATTTGGTGGTGAGGGTCTGTTTAAACGATTAGCAACAAATCATCGAGTTTCTATCATTACCGTCGACAATTTCAAAGCTTTACGGATCAGTTTAATTCATACATATACAAAAAGTGGTCGCCTTTTCACCCTGTCACTCTCTTTCGCCCTCGTTCTTGTTTTCTTTTTTTTTTCACTCTTGCACACGTGTCACGCCTCTTATACAGCAACCAAGTACAGTATTTTACGTGCCAACCTCGAGCGAAATTATTTACAGTCAAACTTTTATCCTTTCACTTATTTTCCATTGATTCATTCACGATGGGATGAGAGCGTCAGCCTAGGCCTCGATGGAACGTGCATATTTCGGTGTTTCTTCTCTCCTTAGTTGTTGATTTCCTTTTTGCATGCATACATGGAGAAGTATTGAATGGGGTCTACCTTATATTAACATACCGGAAGTTTTGAGTGTTTGTCTTGTCTTGCTCTGTGTACTCAGCCGTGAAGTAAAACGAACTAGCCATCGTGTATAAAAATGAAGATGAATCGCAGAGAAGGCGAGTGAAGAGGGAGAGGTTTTTTTTATTATTTTTTTACTTTTTGTGTTCCCTCCCGGGCCTGTGGGAATCAGGAATATTTTGTGTAGTGGTGGTGGTGGTGGGTGGGTGTATCGTTGACTGGTCTCTCTTGGTGTCGTTTGGGTTGGCTCGGTGTGAGTGTTTTTTTCTTGTTTTTAGCGGTATTGTTGGTTTCTCGGGATACGAGTTTTTCTTTTTCGTTGAAGGTGTGCAGTAACTATTCGCAAGTGTGGAAGGGTTATTTTTTTTCTTTTTTTTAACAGAACCGCTACCGGTATCGCATTAAGTTAACTTAGACTACCACCCAGATCCAAGTGAAAGGGTTCAAATTCTGGCAGCTATGATACGGCATTCAATACCGTAGCAGCCCCCCCTTTTCTCTTTTATTTAGGGACGCTTCGACATTACCGGTATTGTAAGTTACGGTAGATGATGGTCAGGTTTTTGTGGGAAAAAAAAATTTGGCCTTCTCGCGCGGAGATCTGCTTTTTAGTGCCCTGGGAAGAAGTGAAGCTAAGTGAAGTTAAGTGCAGCCAGCCAGCCAGAGCCAGCCCCGTTCGTTCGTTTGTGACGGGTTTTGTTCCGCTCGGAGAATATGATGGTGATGTTTGTTGGGAGCAAGCTATTACTTGTACTACTACTACTACTAATAATAATTGCTACTATTCTCTAGTATTACACTATGCCTAGCGCAGAAGATTACCGCCAGTATCTCAGCGTGGACTCGCTTAGCGGGAATATTTATTTACTCGTGCGTTGGGAGTCTCTTTATGTTTGCGGATTTCTTTTCTTTCTTTCTTTCTTTCTGGAAAGTGGTGCTTGCGGCTAGTGTATCGTACCGTATCGGATCAGAATTGGCGGCGGATGAGGTAGAAGTATCACGCTATGGAATTTGAATGCTGTACGGTACGGTACTCTACCGTATGGTACGAGTACACCTTGTACTCGAAGCTCACCTCAGATCGGGAAGAAAGTTGGAGCTGCCCGCTCGAGAAAACTGTTGTATTTTTTTTTCTTTTTCCATTTTCCCATCCATCCATCCTTTCCTCCCCCCCCCCCCCCACATTCACACAACGAGGGGGGAATTCTGGAAGTCTTATGGTAGGTATCATATGTACCATTGTACAGTATGGTACCTCTTATAATACTCGAATGTCCCACACCCCACCCCCGTCCCCGAGCTCTTTCAAGGTCCCGGTTGGTTGGGTGCGTGCGAACTGCCGGTACTGTAACGAGTACAGTACTTGGAGGAATTGCACTTTGTACTGGTACTTGGAACCTCCCGGCCAACAACTGCACTAACGAACGGTAATCTCTTGGGAGGGTGGGAGGGGGTAATTGATGGATGGATGGATGGATGGATGGATAGTTATCGCGATGGAATTCTCCCATGGTATGATATGGTCGATGGGGGAAGGGAGTTGGCGTGAATGCCGTGTTGACGGTGATGGTTGTGTTATTTGGGGTGGGTAGATGGGATGGAAAGATGTCTGATCTTGGAGTGCTGCAGGTTAGTTCTTGAGGCCGAGCGCTATGATATGAAGACTGGTTATCCTATCTACTGTACTGTACCGGGTCGGTAATTGGGCGACGCGGAGGCGGACGAGAAGTTATGATACTCGCTATGCCATTGCAAGGTTCACATATCGTATGATACACTCCCTCACACCGGAACAATACCTATTATATCGAGAGTGAGATCCTAACGACACTATTTACCATTCCGGATATGACACTCTACCGTACCCCGAGCACAATAACTAAACCGCAATTCATCTCACATAATACAAAACGGTAGAAATAAGAAGAAGAAAAAAAGAGTTGAGTAAAGTACCAATAACAGTTACCAAGACCGCACACACAAAAAAAAAAACCCCCCACAACAAAGTCCCCAAAATAGCACCCTATATAAAAGCACAATATTACAACAACAATGATGGAAAAGAAAAGAAAGGAGAGGAAATGAAAGACAAAAGTCACACAATCCCGCACCACCACCACCATACTCTGCTTTTGCTTTGCTTGTAAGACGTCGAGATAAGCTTTCGTTTGCACTTTTGCTGTCGGGTGGGTGTCCTACCACTTCTAATAATAATAATAATAATAATAATACTTTGTAAACAAATTTAGTTTTTGTTGGGGGATGGGTAGTGTACTGTACTTCGAGCGCTTTTTGAAAGGAGCCGCTAGACTTTTTTCCTCCCAGTCTGGCGATAACGAAATGGGGGGTTTTTTTTTTGGTGGGAGTTTGTTTGGTGGTTTGAAGTGTGGTATTATATCATGTCATGTCGATGCTCTTTCGGGACGGGTTGAGCTAGAAGGTGATAAGGGTTTGCTATTGTATTGTATCATTATATCGTCGTTATGTTGCCGGGGTCATTACTAGCCCAGTCCAAGTCACCAAATCACTAAGAAATGTACCGTAGAAGTTTCTTGGTCTATGATATCTAGAAAACTAGTTCCCCCCTTTCGGAGAAGGGTCGTGTTGTCATCCGTGGCTGAATTTTCCCGGTCATCACGAATTCCCGTCACTTTTTGAAACTGCGTGTCTCTTTGGGGTGGTCCTCCCAGAGAATGGTGCGAAATCGTACTGTACTTATTTACTTGTTTGTATCATACTAGATCCCAGCTGGGGGCTATATGTTGGAAGTGTGGATTTATTATAGGAATTCCTCAACCCCGGGTTCCTACTCTATATATATAGCTGTTGTTTATGGTGTATCATAGTCAAGCACTGTACAAGTAAGAATCAAGGGTGGACCTCACCCCCCCCCCACGGGACGGAAATGGAAATGCCATGGCATTTTGTCAAAGGACGCCTTTTCTACATTACAATAACAATAATATCATACTATAAATTCCCTACTCCAAAACTCCTTACACCGAACACAATCAACCAACCTCCAGTACCATATTTCTCCCCAACCGTACGACACGGGTAAGAGTACAGTACACAGAAACAGCAACCAACCAACCAAAAAACCGACAAGCACCCTCAGAAAGAACAATTCTCAGGAATCCGACAAGAGCCCAGCGCAACAAAATACCGCACCTACCGTACGCATGATATATAGCATGACAATTCTCCGCTTCTGGTAACCGTACCGCCAGACAGACAGACAGAAGGGAAATCCAGAACTGCAATGTACAAGATTCCAAGTTAGTTTCCTTAATAGTCAGGGTATGATGAAAAGAAATTCATCAGCGGATTGCTATCAAAGTTTTGCCAGAGGTCCATCTATCCTATACAGTGCGATTCAGTACAAATTCATACGGTAGGTTAAGCAAGCGCAAGGTGGGGGCGAGGGGCGATACAGTACATTACTTTACCATTTCAGATTCACATAGTACCGCACGATACTTTCACAGACAACCGGGTAACCGTTGAACCACAACGAGTGAGACCCCATGACTACAACGGTTTAAATATCGTACATGCAAGAGACTTCCCCCCCCCTGCCCCACCTTTGTTTTCTTTTTTTTTACTACGATAGCTGTCAGAGATTCACATTCTTCCATTCACTCCCCCTCCTTCCCATCGTACCCCCCCCCTCCCCCGCCAGCCCACAAAAACTCGCTCAAATCATACAACCTCACTCGCACTTATTTGCGCTTTCACCGTACTTGACGCCCGCGACCCCCAAACGACCGTCCGTCCGATCTCGCAGAGTTTCATCCCACAATTACACCCACGCCCTAGAAAAGAAAAGAAAAGAGTGTCAAATTCAAGTATACCTAATACGATGGATGGATATTACGGAATGCCAGGGCGGTTAGCAGTCGCCATATCCCACCGTCCAAACAGACCAGCGACAATTCCTTCACTTGGAACGTTCAGTCTACTACAAGACACGACGAGGCAATAAGTGATCAACAAGTCTTGGCAAGTTTTTTTGTTTTCCCGGGTCCATTCCCGGCATGCTACCGGTATGTGTATCACTAGAACAGCTGAGAACTCTACGGTATTAGCGGATGAAAATGTCCCCAGTTCCGTAATAATCTCAGGTTCCTCGTTGGGGTAATGATACACGGTTGGGTGGGTGGGTGGGTAAGAGTTAGTTTCGGGATGTGCTGGCGGGGGTAGGTATCATAGGTAGAATGAATGAATGAACGAATGAGGGACAGTGTGTGTAAGAAAGTTCGGCATTTGTCGGTCGGTGTGAGTGATAATTAACTTAACCTCTAACTTGGCGACGTTCCTGCCGGCTTGGTATGACTGTGAGTCTCTCTTATTGGAATGCGGTGCTGCTGCATAAGCCGAGGCAACCCGCTCAGGCAAATAATGGTTACTGGTCCGTCGTGTGCTACTTAGAACTCACCATCCGTCCGGAAGATCCCATTCCTAAAGATTTGCGATAAACGGAAAATCTGGAGAATTCCCGTGCTTTCCCAATCGGCAAATTGGTTACAATACGAGGAGATTTTTCAAAACACCGAGGGTCTATGGGAACTCGTACAGTACGGTGGTACGGTACAGTACCCCCCCCCAATCCACCAATCCCTTACGCTATGATAGAGTAGACCGAGATTCCGCCATACGAGTCTATAAACCGAGGTCACACGACGCATCATCTTTCCTCATCTCCATCTTCACCAGATCCAGTCGGAAATGTGTGGATGCCAATTATACGAGACGCTGGAATAACCTACCGTATGGTTACCGTACTTTACTTATGGTACAGTACTCCTTGAAGGAAAAAAAAAAAAAAAAAAAAAAGCCACACCCTAGTTCTAAATCGCAGATCCGAAGCGATGGGATGCGATGGGATGCGATGCGGGTCCGGTGCGTTCGAATGGTTTTTTTTTTTATCTTACGAGTATGCAGATGGATATATACGGTACGGTAGGTCATCAGGTTTGGAGATTCGGGCAGGTCATTGCGCGGTTGGTTGGAGGTGGCAAGTCGGAGTTTCCCCAGCACCATCATCATCATCATCGTCATCATCATCAACCCAACGGTACGATCTGATACCGGTACACATACAGTACGGGAGGGGGTGAGATACAGGTGAGGGGAAGGGGGGACCTCGTTCTGTGGAGGTGTATGAATGATCCCGTGCAGAAGCATCGGGCTGGAGGAAACGTAATTGAGAGGGGAGAGAGAGAGGGGAGAGAGAGAGAGGATTGTCGAGTATTGAAACATTCGGGGGTGACATTCTCACTAGTCGTATCTAGTCTAGTCCCGCGCGCTGATACAAAGCATCCTGTATGAAGTACCGGTACAGTACTCGAGTACAGTACTCGTACCGTATCATACTGTACCCAGAACGCAAGGATCAGGAATTTTTTCATGACAAATTATCTGTGCACATCCGAGTCTCCCTCACACAACTACCGTAGTCCAAAAAAGAATTCGGACCCAGATGCTCTGGTTACTCCACGATGAACGCTTGTTCTTGAGGTCCTTTTTTCCCTCCTTCTTTACTTCTTCGTGCAAGACTGTCTCTGTTTCAACAGTCCAGGGATCGAATGTGTCTGTTCTCTCTGCTCTGTCCGTTCCGGTCAACCAACCAAGAACGGAGCAGGGAGAAAGGAAAAAGGAAAGAAAAGAAAAAAAGAAAAAAACATCAACTACGGTACGGTAGCGGTACAGTACTGTACTGTACGAGTATCATAGCGGTAGGTTAGAGGGAGAGAAAGAAAGAAAGAAAGAAAAAAAGATCCAACCATGCCCAGTGCACCAACATGTCTTACTGTAGGGGTCCATTGCTAACCGGTATGATGGGGGGTGGGTGAGTGGGTGGGTGGTCACGAGCAAGGAAAAAGGCATGCACCAAGGCAGAGCGGCGGAAGAACTGGAGCTTGTGCGTTGCCGGTTGGCCCTCTCTCTCCCCCAGGTGTGTGGGGAGTTACCAGCGTTTATATCTATCCATCTCCATGTGGTGGATTCAGAAGCTTCTGAGATTGGAGGGAATTTATCGGATTGCGGGGCGAAAAGTTGGGGATTTCGTTTTAGGGTTCGCTTAGTTGGTTGGATGGAGAAACTATTTTGACGGGCGGGAACGGACCTGGACGCTTTTCTTCTCAAAGGGGGGGAGGGAGAGAGGGGTGTGTGTGGGGGCGATGGGCGTTTTTCTCTTCTCCTCTTTTCTTTTTCCCCTACGCGACGAGGCCTTCTCTAGTCTACGGCACTCACGAGAGTTATCCTTCATACGAGTGGTACTGGCACAGAGGACAAAGCGCATGACTCGCCATCATACAAGAAAAGAAGGGGGTGTACGAGTACTTTTTTTCTTGCTGCCAATGTTGTTGGAAATGGGGAGGGTGCTGGGATACATACGCTCCGTCTCTTTCTGCCCATTGAAAAATCGTCCGTCAGACCTCCATCCGAAGCGAGCTACCGGTAGGTCTCCCTTCAACACACCCGGACTTCATAGACAGAGTACAAATTTTTTTCCCATACCAGTATCTCTTCATCATCTTGGGATCTCCAAACTAATTGCAAGGTTCCTCGCTAATTTCATTGTCATGGCGTCGTGTCGAAACCTAAATCTCCCGGCTGAAAACGGGGAGTTCGACCAACATATGTGCTACAAAAAACGTGACTCCCCAACCATAATCCGAGGTCGAGATGCCTTCCCCTCTGGGTCGGAGAAATCAGGTCAGGATAGAGAATAAATAGATAGAAAATGGATAGAAAAGAGAACAAAAATTGCAGAACGCGACGGATTCGTAACGAGCCGCACGAGCACCACCAATAACTAGAATGAAAAAGCCCGGCGCCGACCATCTAAGATTGACTGAACAGGAATGGAAACAAGTTCACTGTACAATGAAACCGAAAACGCCGCTCTGAAAAGGGGGAAAAAATAATAAATAGCTGGGCGAAAACTCAGGGAAAGCCAAAAGGATAGAGATGCGTCAAATGCACGCCCTAGACGCCGAATGAAGGAAAAACAAAAGGGATACAGGAGCAAAGGGGGAACCAAATGGAAGAGAGGGTATCTCTAGTCATTGAGAAATGTACACAGCGGATAGAGTGTTCGGCGATTGAGATCCTGCCAAAAGGGGGTGATTCGAGACGCAAATTCGAGCATGCACAAGAGGCTGAGGTGGCAGTATTGAGGATCGCTGGGGACAGGACGCGGAAAAGCGGCCGTGAAGACAAGGCTTAAAGAGCGATTTCATGCTCAATACATGTCTGAAGGTGGCGGCGGTGGAGGTGCTGCCGGTGCTGGTGGTGAATTACCAGACCAATCCATAGGGCATTCTTCAGGAATGGTCTGGTGAGGAGGAGTTTGTTGGCACCAATCCATCCGCCCGGCATCAGCCTCCACTTTCGGCGGAGTCACTGGCCTGCTCTCGCCAGTGCACTCGACTCGTATCTCTGGAACGTCGACCAGAGGGCCAGGAGCCTTACCGTGTCGGGAATCGCCTGGCTCTTCCCGAGGCTTCCCCTCTTGCATTGGTATGGGCCCGTGAAGGCGTTGCTCGCGGGAATACGCTTCCTCCGTCCTGCTCAAGGGGTCCATATCCGACGGGCGAGATCGGGAGCGAATCTTACGCTCACGGCGTGCTGATGAGGAATGATGTTTGCGAACGCGTGGAACCTTGAGGACACGACGTTCGGTCAACCTCGAGGTGTCGTGGCGGGTTCTGTGAATCTGATCTACCCTGGCCTGTATTTCTCTGTAGGTTCCGCCATCATCATCCTCTGCTTCTAAATCGTCTGCGGGCATAACCTCCGGCATCGCCGGCGGTTCTGTCGGGGTAGCGGTGTGGGAAGTGATCCCATCAAAGGTAGCAAGGGGCTGGGGCGGGTGTCGCGAGAACGAATCCTCTGGCGATGAAGGGAGGTCGAGGGGCTTTGGAGGTGGATGCAGATGGTGGTCTGAGGGAGCGGGTGCTGGTGTCGGGCCGTCCGTGTTTTCCGTATGCTCGGTGAGTGGAACGAGAACCCGTAGGTCGGGGTGAGTGTTGGGGCTCAAGGACATGTTCCGTCAACACCGCGCACCGGTGTGACGAAACAAAGGGTCGAGTCCCAAGCTGAAGGAACTGGGTCTCCGCTAAAAATGCCGTTGTCAGCATGTGGTGTGTGTCGAGGAGAGGCGGAGTCTGTCTTCCCGCAGGGTGGGTTGGTGTTATATCCTCCCTGAGAAAGCGTGGGGTGGGTGTTGATTGGAGAGAAGTCCGGGGACGGAGAGGGAGAGAGGTACAAAGAACAGGGCCGCGGGTAACGCTTTATTCTGGAAAAAAAAAATCCAACAGGCGCTGGTTACGAGAGTGTGGCTTGTATCATACTCCCTTCTCATTGCTCCACTGGCTCGAATCGGGGTGGGATTGCTGTGCAACCCTGGGTCCTGCCACCCTACTAGCCACGCACTACACCTAATACTGGTCCATTGCCCCGGGCACCCCTCTCTACCCAGTGGGAGCAATACGGTACTCGTACAAGTATCGTGCCAGTCCAACCTTCCAGTCCCCAGGGTGGAGCAGTGCAGCGAGACGAGGGTTATCCCCACTCTCCCTGGAGTCCGATGAGTCGCACCCTCCCATCAACCTGGAAACGAGGTAGGGGCAATATGGGTATTTGGTTGGCGGGTCGCGGGTCTCGGCAGGTTAGACCGAGGCTGGGCCTGTCAGCCCTTTGGTAACACTTTTTACTCGACGGAGAGAAAAAAAAGCTTTGGGGCGAGCCTTGTCCAAAGCTTCCTCTTTGTCAACCGGCTCGTCTCGAACTCCTGAATGCAGCCCATTGTCGGCGGTCCACCGGTTGGAGGAAACCCTGCAGAGAAATATGCACTTTTGTCCGTGTTTGGGCCACACCGAGGCTATCGCAGCTGGCCCTCAATCCAATCCCATGGGTGGGACGCCTTCGAACCTGCCATTTCGATGCGAGCAGAGCGCGCTGCAGCTCTCGGGTCGGCCAGAAGTCGGGCGCACTTTCCTGAAACGGATAGTGCTCTAGCCGTAATTAGTAGGCGCCAAGACCAAAAGGGCAATACGAGTGATCTTGTGTGAGAAAATATGGGATGGAAAATTACCGACGCGCTCGCTGATCTCCTCCTTCGCACTACCGGTGCTACCGCCGGTAAATCCATATCGCTGCTCTCCCGCACGAGAGTTCGAACACCCACACCAGGGCTCCGGTACGGTGGATTGCTTGCTTGTACGAGTACTCGTACAATACCGTATCCCAAGATGAATCAAGGAAAGTTACCCGGGCCAAAGGAAACACTGGGCGGCCAAGGCCGAGGATTGCTGTCGATCCCAACACCCAACTTACCTCGCACCCAAACGCTGCTGTGCTAGTACAAGCTCTTGTGTGCGATGGCAGAAACACTTGGTCTACCCCCCTAAGAACCTCCGATCCAAGGCAAAGATTCCTGTGCTCGATTGCTCCCGTATCATCAAGCCAAACCTGCAATCCCACCATCTCCCCAAATCTCACAAGGGGTTACCCACCATGCGAAAACCGGAATCAATCAGTCAGCTACGGTATCCAGTCGTTCGATAGCTTAGAAAGTTCTCTTGTATTTCCTTGTCATACGGTAGGCAGTAACTTTATATATATATATATGTTGGTATATATATATATCGCCACGCAAGGTATCGGTATTTACCATAGCAAGAAAATACAGTACGGCACTCGTACCCAGGGAGCGCTTCACAATCCGATGCGATACCGGCACCAGCCTGCACAAGGCGGGACCACCAGTCACCAAGAGCTAAGCCATAAACGTTCCCGCTCAAGCAAAACCCCGTCGCCGATCCTTCCCAAAGTGACTACTGTGAACATCGCCGTCCTGAAAAGCATGCTCTTCGAACCCCTATTACTCCACTATCCCTATTTTTTTTGTTTTACGGTACCGGTACTCCTATCTTTTTGGAGGAGGAAAAAGAAAAGAAAAACTCCCTTCGGGAGTGGGATTCCGAATGGCAAATTTTCGCCGCGAGGTGATGCACGAGCGATTTGATCCGCAGGTACTCGTATCACATCATGCTTTGCGGGAACCCGGTACCGTATCTTTCTAGCAGGGAGGATTCAATTGCTCGTAAACGGGCCCGACCCACCTTCACCTCACCCCATTCCCAAAGCTTTCCGGAAGAAAAAATAAATAAATAGAGGTGCGAGGCTCCCAGGTTCGTGCTCGAAATATCGGCTCTTTTCCATTTTTTTATCATAATATGTCCAGACATTTTCACGAATATTCTGACAGAAAACGCCTACGGTGCTGGTAATTATACCAAACATTAACCTTTCGCTCTTACCTTACTAGGGGCGGACCCCCCACACACACACACACAGCCTGCAGAAAGCGATGCAACCGCGGGGAGGCGGGGGCGGCGAATGCAAGCAGGGAAGGGGGGGAGGTGGGAAGAAACTTTTATAATATAATACATGCATGCAAAACACCCGAACGAGTTAAGGGAACATTGCAGAGAGCCAACGCTTACTCGTACTTACTCGTACGGTGGCAAATCAACCAGCACCATACAAATACAAAGTTGAAAGAGAAAAAAAGAAAAGAAAGAAGAAAAAAAATCCAACAGCATACGGTCCGGTAGGAGGGAACAAACAAGCCCTGTCACGTTTCATTTCAAGCAACCACCGGACAGAGTCAAGTTAGCTTAAAAATCTCCTCAAGAATAGAATAGAGTTTTGCGGTGTGGTGTGGACACCGTTTGGTTATGACACTGTTACTAGTGCGATGATGTGCCATACAAAACCCCCATCACTCGAGTTACCGTTATATTACTCTCGGTATGATAGTTCACCACGCAGATGAATTCCACTCACCGATCCCGCGGGTATCGTCACAAAGTATCACTCGCGCTCTAGCTGCAGTGGACGGATACGATCGCTGTATTCGGAGTTGAAAGGAAAAGGAAAAAGAACTAGAATATCTGGAAAATGCAGGTCTCACAGCACCCCCCCCCCCTTTCCCCTTCCTCATGGGATATATTACTGTACTCGTACTGGTACGGTAGACCCTTTTCCTGCAGAGTCCATCCCATCTGTCCATCTATCCCTTACCCTACCCTACCATACCAAAACTGCCTCAAGCCGCGCTAACAACTGCACAGGGAACATTCGGGGAATCCAAACCGGTCTAACTGATTCGCTGGCGGTCAGTGGTTGCCTAACTTAGATCCATTCATTCATTCATCTAGTTCAGCTAGCTATCTACCGTACCGTAGCCAAGTTAGCTGCTGACCGATCCGGACCTCAGCCAGTCCGGTGCCTGCGGTGATTTACCGTACAGTAACCATGTCAGACGTTCCCAGGCCCACTCATCATACTTGTACTAGTACACACGAGAGAGAGAGAGAGAGAGAGAGAAATACGGTACGGTACGGTAGTGTCAGCAACGACAGTAATCACGTTATTATCATCCGTCGATCACTCGCTGTCCTGCTAGATATCGAGTAATCCGGAAACCTGAATCGGACCGGGTGGGGGTTAGTTATCATACGGTGGGTTAATTACCGGTACCGTAGAAGGTTGTTCGTAATGCTCTGTTAGATTTCCCTTTCACCCCCGGGGTTACCATTCTTGGATATCCGATACCCGCCTCTACAATACTTGTAAGGATGATGAGTATGATTCGGTCGGGGAGGGGGAAATTACCGTGCGAGGGGCAGCGTACGGTACTCATGATATCGCGTTTATTGTTTATATCGGCTGCATCGAGCTGAACATTTGTGTACTGTACGAGTACTGTACCGTATGATACTTGTCGCGTGGGATTCGTCCTTTTGCTCCGTCCTTTCTCGGGTAACTTGGGTAGGTATGGTACTGTACCGCCCGTATATGCTTCATCTCCTACGGTACAACGCTACTATCACGAGATTGATACGCACACGCCGAATGACTCCGAGTCTGATGGGGGAAATGAGACTCGTCCCGATAAATCGAGATCGGAGGCCGGCGGGGCGGAGATCATCACCCCTTTTCTGTGGATCCATTTGATTATAGGTTTCGCAAGATTGATTATCGCAGTGCTGTACAGTATTGCATCCACACACACTGCTCTACACCTACTTATTGTTATGGAAAGGAAGAAAAGAAGGAAAAAATGAACGGGACCCAAATGCCGCAGTACGCCCTGCCATGAAACCCTTGTTACCGCTGATGGAAGAAAAAACAAACAAAAAGGAGCTGGTCGTGGTTAGTGTCTAAAGTTTCCTATTTACAATGAGGAAGGAAAAAATAAAGAGAGGAAAGGAGAATCAGGTGTCGCGAGTCGAGGCGTCTCCTGAGGGGGTATGTTCTCGGCCTCTGGAGAAGTCTACCGCGCTGGAAGAATCATCGTCATATCTCGACTCCCGGCCACCTTTTCTGTTAGAGGGACACCTTAGCCCTTGATGTGCCCTCCTGCGTATCGGGGCCTTTGCGATACGCAACGATCCGAGAACAGCTGTTGTTCTACCTTCCTCCAAACTCTTGCTTTCGGTAGTAGTTGTGGGCGCGGGGGAATCGCTGTCAAGTTCTCCTTTTCGTCTCCGAGTCCGAAATGTTCGATATTGAGTTTGGCTCTTGGCCCGCATATGTCGAAGGCTATCCAATAGCCCTCTGATATCAATATTCTTTGAGTCGAGATCGTCTTCCGCTCCCGAACGGCGAAAGTCGGAAATGTGCAGCCCGTGTATTCGGCCCTCCTCAATCTGCTCCAACTCCGCTTGTAGAGCAAGGTTGTTCTGGAATACGCCCTGTCTTCTCGGCGTGCTTCTTCGAGGTGGAGAGACCATCATTTCAGAATCCGAATATAACTCGGGTCCGGATCTGGATTCGTGGCGGTTGCCGACAAAGGCCTCTATGGGTGTTGCGTATTCAGAGCCCGAGGGACCCTCAAAAGGTGGAGGAGGTATTCCGCCGCTCATAAATTCCCGCTAAATAACTGGTGCTGTACCGGTAGGCTGCTATCGGATCAATCATCGGGGGATGGAAACAGTCGCAGTTCTTCCACGATTTGGTTCTGGATGCTCGATGCTTTGTGCTATCCGGTGCTGCATGGGGTCCACGACCTAGTTGAGCGGGAGGGGATGCTTTAGGTGTTATCTGCGGTATGGCTTGGTGAGCTGATTGCCGCCACTTGCGCCAGCCGACCTCAGTCTACCAGTGATTCAATGATCCTCCCCGCCTCCATCCATTCACCAACACAGGCGCATCAAAGCCGGGGTTCGAAACAGGGTGTCAAGGTCGAAGGTCTGACCCCCACATTTTCCGATGTTTCGCCAAGGGAACGAGGACGGGGACCCGCATAAAATGATATGGTACCCCTCCCCCAAATCCTGATCCAAGCTCCAATCACACCGGGACATAGCGCGGAGCCGGCACTGCTGCACATCGATGTGTTGCTCTGCTGCCCATTTTCCATCCATCCAGCTTCGTGTGAGTACCGTATTGGGTTTCAAACATTGGAGAATCGTATCACACCCAAACCTTGACATGTACCACAACACACAAGGGCGCGAACACGGTGAATTTCACTTGTGGGATACCGGAGTGGAAGTTACAATACCACGGCTTAAATCACCGTGCAGCCGTATTGTGCCGACTAATCCAGAGTTCCTGCGCTGGCATTTCCTCAGCAATATATTTGCGTGACACCCCAGAAGTGTACCAGTGATAAGAACAAATTTGTGCAGCGCAGTGCCACCAACAGATGAACTGTAACACAAATTTGCGGAGGTCTGTGGAGGTTCGAGACCAATTTGCCTTGTACCCGCACGTACCCTCTTTTCCCCCAATCATAGGAACGTACGATGTTTAATGCCGTTAACGCAATTGTGAGACTCATACATGCAATTTATAGCAGCAGCGTCTACTTGCCCATTCCAAGAGTATCCAGAATTGGGGACTCTAGATTAGCATTTGCAGTGCCGGTAGCTAAGGTGGGACCGTTCGCCGAGGAGGGCCAAGGCAAGACTAATCTCCACATATCTACTGTAGATACTCTTAGAGTTTGCATGGTCGCTCAGAAGCGCACGGATTGATCACATATATCTGGTGAATCCTAAGTTTTCGGGTACGGTACTCGCTCAGCATTTGCACGAGTAAGAGGGCGCAATTTTCCCCTCCTCTCGCCGCCGACGTTGTTGCATTGAGGAAGATCTCGGTACGCATGCGCTCAAGCCTCCCTGCCGAGCAAACCTTGTTCAGGCCCGCGGTTTGCCGTACGGGTAGTGTACAGGGTGCCGTGCCATATTTACTAGTATGATACTTGTAACTTGCCCCTCGCGCAGAGATACGAAATTCTCCGTCCATCTCTCTCTCTTCTCTGTGACTCGATATTCATTGCTCATTTTGGGAGGCGGGATGGGGGGGAAGTAATTCTGGGCTTGAAGGGATTTTGTGGGGCCGAGCCCGTTTCAAAAATCCCGGCAGGGGTGTGGGAGCCACGGAGGAGATCTCTGTGGGCGCCGACAATAGAAGGTGCAAAACCCTTGCTGTCCGTTACTCGAGTACCGGTACTCGAGTAGAAAAAACCACTCCTAGATCTGTCCCCCGTCCGGGGTGTGACGAGCCCCCACAATCCTATCGAGATTATCACAGATCCTCTATCAAGGGCTGCATGGTAATCATGAATCCTGCTACAGTATAGCACCGGTAGCTATTTACGGTCCGCAGCCAGGTAGGATTCGTGGATCAGGGCTGCAGCTCGAGAACATCGGTGTGAACACTTTCAAATTGCTTGCAAAGGCGGTCCAACACCCCGGAAGACTGCCCCAGGAGTCCATGCGTAGACGTGAATTACTCGAGTGCCGGCGAACCAATACCATCTTGCAGGAACGCGCCGCCATAGACAGGATCCCTGTGCCCCCAAAAGGGGGATGAAGAAGAACGCCCCACTCTGCCTCTAGATGGTTGATCAATGGGTCGTTCCTCGACGCAAGGCAAAGGGCCCCATACCGGTAGTTGCCTGTCCGTCTGAGTGCTCATATCACCGGTGCCGAACTCTAGGGCACACAAACATCGAGCCCCGGAGATCGAAATCCTAGAACTAGACCCCTTGATATATGTGCTGTACGAACGCGGCCGATAGATATATTGGTCACGCGGGCCTGATAAGAGAAAAATTTGGTTGGCCTTCCGGTTGCAATGTGCAGAGATGATGCACGTGACTAATACATCAATCGGCCGCACTTGTAAGTTAATAAACAGAAATGAAACTAAACCTCTAGTTGATTCAAGAGGGAGACACGTGTCCAAATTTCGACCATCACTGACTCCCAGAGCTTCCCTGTTGAACATGATACCGCCAAGGTTTTTTTACTCTTTACGTTGCGCCCCCCCCGGAGGGTCAATTCGGGTGGTCAATTGGGGAGAGCGGCCCAGGAATATCGTTAAATTTCCGATTTCGCTTTAATGTTGAAAAAAACAAACGGTTGATAGATAGGCTTGTGTTGCTTGAGATTTGCCTGTAAAAATCACATTTTCCAGGAAAATGCCTGGGTGGCGTTCTGCCAAGATCTGTAGAGACCTCCCTTATTAAATTACCTCCGCCGACACCACAAGAACAGCACGCGTCACATTTTCTCTACCTAATGCGTTTCCAATACCTTCAAAGGGAAAAAATAAACAAAAATCAATAAATATGCCCGGATCCAGTTTATTTTGAAGTTGTGTCTTCCTGCTCAGAAGTTGGAGCATTATTTTCTTTCTTGGGTGCCTGTGAAACCTTGTGCTTTGCTGGTGCAAGGAAAACATTGATGATGGAATATCGTAGTACCGGCACTGTACTCCATAAGGGGAGGGCCCAGGATCAGCTGGCATACCCGAGTACAGTATGATAGCTGTCCGGAAGGGTGGGGAGGCTTGCTCGCACGGTATCGTGCTTCAAGGTGTTTCAACTCCAGCTATCCTAAGTTATGGTGTCTGTATCTCTTACGCTCTAACATAAGTTACTTATAATCCTCGGACACACCTTCACTGTTCTATCCCTCGGGAACGGTTATGGCATGGTTACTCGACGATAACGATTCCCGCACTCGAATATGTTCTTGGGGGGATGTCATTCCGCGGAGTGGGGGGAAATCAACAAAGGCGAATCCGCGAACCCGAGCAGGAAGGCGTAAAAATTGGGCACAACGATCACCATAAGAACGCCTTCCAGAATACCCCCCCTCCTCCCTCGAGATCTGACAATTTGGTGCAGGGGAAAAAAAATCTTCTCACGGCCGGTAGTTCCGCCTGCAGGCATGCCAGATTTACTTGTACCACCCCGTCGGGGAGGGTACTAGTACAAATACGGTAGAGTGCACCAGGCATATAAATCACCACACACACCAATCGATTTCGACTACGATACTCGAGTACACGTGACCGGAACAGTCTTTAACGAATTTCTGCAAAAGATTGACTCCTCCTCCGCACCATTCTTCCACAACTGTGCCGGTAGCCTACCGGTCTTCGCGTTCGCCGACTAAAAGTGTTGCAGAAGAAGAAGAAGAAAAAAAAAGTTCCCGCGGAAGGCTGCCTACATGGAGAACGCAGCCGGTACTGTACTAGTACAGTACGACTCTCACAGGCACTGCTCAGCCCTGGAACCAGGACACCCCCAGCATGTTCCGGACGTCTTGTTCCCATGAACGGTAGGCACGAGTTGGGGTTGGCCTTCTGCTACTTGTACAAATACTGTAGTAGACTATGATAGCGCTTGTCTAGTATCATACTGGTATCCGGTAAGCTGGTCCGGAGGCTCCCGATGCTAAGCACTACCGGCAGCACGGTAGAATAATCCCCAGCACCGGTAACAGACGTCATTCATTTAATTATCCTGGTCAGGCGCGTTATCCGCGATTTTTGGAAGGGGGTGTTTTTTTTTTCTCTGGATCACGATAAACACCCCCAGAGATGACGCATTACGACAGTTCAGGTAGTACGATACTGTGCCCAAGTGGATACAGTGCTGTACTCGTACTAGTACTAGTACGAGTACAGGGCACGCGTATAGACCTCGGCGATCGGACAACCAGGGATTCTCGAGGCCGGGACTTTTCTACCGGTACCCGTACCCTCATGGGAAATGAATTGGCACTGGGATTGCTCAAGCAAGCAAGCAAGCAAGAAACTTTGACATTTCCCCTAAATCCCTTGCTATCCGATAACACACACGTTCGTACCCGAATACGAGTGCAGTGCGTACGGTACGGTAGATTTGATCAGGGACCACTCGACCTTGGAGACCGGGCCATGGGTACTGTGCTGTACTCGAGTACACTCAAACCCCGCTGTCCCGGATCTCTATAATGCGTATACCTCGCTGTCCCGTATGAAGTGTTGTGAATTCCAAAATTTTCCACAGCAAAACTTGACTTGTTGTTCCGGATAACCCGCTGTACCGGACAGATTCTTTAGATTTTGGCCGTCCGGGATAACGGGGTGTGAGTGTACTCGAGTACTCGTACAGTATCATACCCTGCATCAGTATCGAACATCCGACGCGCTCCGTCACCCAGTGAAAATGGCGTTGTGGCTTTCCCTGGCCGTCGGTGGTTCTGCAGGCACCGTCCTTTTTAGCGTTAGTTCGTCCGTACCTGTGGCTGGGGCAGCTCTTGCCGCCCGCCCCCTTGTCGTGCAGACCGGGAAGTTTAACGGCCTTCATACAGATACTGCACGAGTACCCTACTTGTAAAATTTCCAAAAGTTGTGAAGTGTGGGGGGGAGCACAAAGTTTGATTGCGCAATAGTTAGTATCCATTAGGTGCCGTACGGAAAGTTTCCCTCCCTCTCTGAGGAATTGGATACTGTATACTGTATCGTACTATGAATTCTCCAGTTCAGTGGTTGATTAAACGGAAGAGGATCTTTGGAAAGGAAATGAAATCCTTTTTGTCCAGAGAGGTTTTTCTTTTTATATCAACTTTTAGGAAAGCCCACTTGTACAATGCAATACAGTACTAGTGCTAGAAGAAGAATGGAGAAGGGAGGTATTGTGAGGACAACTCCAGGACACATTTGTTCATTCATTCACCTTAGGTTCCAGCACCACCAGTACAGTTCCGAGCATAGAATCATAAACCCGCAGGCTCAAACCAAAGTGTTCAGGCCTTCGACCTTTTCCTGTGTCAGTCAGTCCAACTACCGTACCAGTGTCAACTGTCAACCGAGTGAGTGCCCATGACACGATGCTGTCCCCCCCCCATGAGAATCCACAATGCCAACCTGAAGCAAGCATGGAAAACATGAAGCCACAGAAGCAGAGTGCTTTGAAGCAGTTTTATTTTCAAGGCGGTTCCTATCACGAGGTTGAGCAGAGAACCAGCTACCGGTATGGAACGAGTTCAGTTCAGCGAATGGTCAAACACTGGAGACATTTGTAAACCTATGGTAAAGTATATATTCCCACTACTGTCCCACCACTTTGTTGTCGCCGCTATACAGTACCAGTACGGTAGCCGGTCGAGAAAAATTTAAGGGGTGTTCCAAGAGGCTACAAGACTGTACGAGTACAATACTAGTACAGCAAAGAAAACAAAACAAAAAAACACTAATAGTGTCCGAGCGTATGATAAACAGTGCTCATTGGTTAACCGGCGGGATGACGCCTCAACCGCCACCACCAACAATTCGTCTTGAGAAGTTGTATGCGGTGTGGCGGTACAGTATCCGAACATTTGTACTCGTACAGCATCAAGTAAGTTTCGGAGATATATATAATGCTCACTACCGGTGTTGCTGTTCTCGCCGACTGATTAAGTGCGGTTCAGATTTAACCCTGCCTCCCGGCCTCCCTTACGGGACTTCTCCTCCGTTCATATACCGTATGTGTCATCATCTCAAACCTTTTGTTTGTCTCTGACTCTATCACTAAATTGCAAAAGGGATAGTCCAGTGTTCTTACCGGGAACTTGCGTTATGACATGCGGACCTCGGCTGCAGCAGTACTGGTACAGTAGCGACAATGGTTTCATGGTTCATGGTTTCTGTGTATCAGTCAGTCAGTTAGTGGATAGATTGCGGTTTGTTTTAGAGATGTTCCGAGCAAGGACCCAGGATTTTTTTTTGTCCTTCCCCTTCCCACGGTTGTCGGAGCTTACCGCTCATGACCGGGTTATCGGTACCGGAAGGGGGGGGGGGGTCGACGGGATTTGCCACGTATCGTTATTATTACGGTGCAGATCGAGATGGGTGGTGGGTTTATGGTTTTTTTTTCGTTGGTATGATGGGTTGAGGTTTGTTTATTTGATTGGGAGCGCTTGAGTAACAGTACTTGTATTGGCAGTGCGGTCGCTCGTGGTGGTGAGTGGCAAGGTGGTTTGGTACGGGCACATTTACCGTCGGTAACTTCCTCCATCACTGTTTCGGGACGACAGAGGGAAAAGCGGGGATGGGGTGGAAGAGGGAGTGCTGTGGGTGGGTTACCGCCTCAGTACCGTACTGTATTATGATATCTTGAAAGTAGTCTCGTGTCGGGGAAGTGGGTAACTTTATGGAATCTCTCGACAGGAAAATCTATGGCCTCTTTGATTGATCCCAATGCCGTACTGGTATGTGCTGTAGAGGCATTCAACCCCCGGGCTGTGGGGAGCGCTTACTTGAGTGCGCAAGCTTTTCTGACTTTCTGACTTTGGTGTGTGTGCGGTGCTTGTATCGCCACCTTTGCTTGCAGATCCGCCGGAAACTTGGCGCTCGAAAAAAACTCTCTCTCAATCCCGGCGTTGGGTTCCCCTACTCGTACAGTAACCAGCCTTACCATATTCTTGACAGACGCACCTCGCATATCTCCAACACTTCCCGGACCAATCCAATCTCTTCAAAGCCTTTTCACCACTACGCCCGTTATTCCTCGGAGCTGATCCCAGAATCTCACGGGGGCCCGATGGAGATGCCTCCACAATCGATCAGCAAGCAATGA